GAGAGGATGGGAAAAGTGGTGCAGGAAGTTATGGTGAAGTCAAGATTTTCAGGCAGAGAGTAGAGCCCCAAAGGCAGAAGGGAGAGGGGTAATGGGCAACAGGGAAAGAGCCCTCAGTTTAGATCAGGGTTAGCGCTGAATGTCCACTTCTCTTTTCATTTAAAGAACTCTGGTGATTTCCATCTCCGTGAATCAGAAAGAATGTGACAGCGTACAAAGAAGAGATTACCACTCTGACACTGATGGCTTTTACCACCAGCTTTAGCAGAGTGTGGCACCACTCGGGAGCACCATAGTCTTAAAGCCCAGGTCTGGCCACCCCATTCTGGGTGCAGGCTATACAGATGGATGTAAATAAAGCTGAAAGAAAGGCTCCACAGAGAGGCTGAAATTCACTGCAACCACAGTCCAGGGCAGAAATCAGGGTGCTGGTTGCCAGGTAGGTACCCAGGGGAACTGACCTGAAACAGAGGTCAGAGAGCTTCTTGTGACTCTTCATTGCTGAGATTGCAACCAGTCTTGTTAGAAAAACCAAAGACACAACTTCCTGAAAATTTTCGTTAATGCAAAAATGGGTTTGTTTCTTTGGCAACAGAAGAGTCCACCGTGGGAAAGAGGTTTTCTCAGCACCTAAGCTGTCCTAAGTAACAACAAAAGCTGTCCTAGCACCTTGGACCCCGAGTACTCAACATGCAAAGACTTTGCAGTAGCCCTAGTTGGCCCAGCCCAACCCTGCCCTGGGGTACAGTTTTATCTCAGCCTGGCTTTTATCTGCATGAAGAGAGTGAAACAGTTCTAAGGTTGAGAGAGGATAGACTGAATCACCATTTTAGAGAGATCACTTTGTTGAGGGGCAAAGCCAAGTGCATTTATCACATTCACATATCACATCTCCTATCATTTTCTTTTCCTCTAAATGGAATCACCTTTCTACTTCTACCCAGTTATTTTAGACGGGAAGTCACTGTGTGTCTACCAAAGGAAGTCCCTCCTGCCTGAAGCCTAGTTTCTCCAGAAAGCAAATCTAGTTACAAAGCCCTAGATGACTGGGGATGTGAGTCTGGTGGTATAGGACAGGGGTATTTGACACAGGGAAGGAAGAAAGGCCAATACAAGGGTGCCTCACCATGCTGGCCTCTGCTTCAGGCAACTGGTACTCCATCTCACTGGGACCTTCTGGAAAGCGTCATGAAATGTTTCTCTCAACTCCCCATCTGGGTGATGAAAGTGGAAAGCAGTTATCCATCATCTTCCAGCCCCCTTGGATCAAGAGTAATGGTTGCCCTGGGTCCTCTTCTGTGATTGTTTGTTTCTTTTTCTGAGGGTCTGTCCATCTTGTTCTTATCTCTCTCCCAGTCTGTTCACCTTTGCATCCACAGCATGTGGTACAGTTCTGGGCATACAGTAGGCACTCAGTAAATGTGGGGGAACTAGTTTGATGTGGCAAAGGAGTGGTACAGACACTAGGAGCTCAGAGGAGGGAAAGAGCAGATGGGGATTAGAAGAGTCAAAGAGAGATTCTTGAGGAAGTGATTTTTGGAATACTCCTTTAGGGAAGGAAGATGTTTGGATGGGCAGAGAGGATGGGAAAAGTGGTGCAGGAAGTTATGGTGAAGTCAAGATTTTCAGGCAGAGAGTAGAGCCCCAAAGGCAGAAGGGAGAGGGGTAATGGGCAACAGGGAAAGAGCCCTCAGTTTAGATCAGGGTTAGCGCTGAATGTCCACTTCTCTTTTCATTTAAAGAACTCTGGTGATTTCCATCTCCGTGAATCAGAAAGAATGTGACAGCGTACAAAGAAGAGATTACCACTCTGACACTGATGGCTTTTACCACCAGCTTTAGCAGAGTGTGGCACCACTCGGGAGCACCATAGTCTTAAAGCCCAGGTCTGGCCACCCCATTCTGGGTGCAGGCTATACAGATGGATGTAAATAAAGCTGAAAGAAAGGCTCCACAGAGAGGCTGAAATTCACTGCAACCACAGTCCAGGGCAGAAATCAGGGTGCTGGTTGCCAGGTAGGTACCCAGGGGAACTGACCTGAAACAGAGGTCAGAGAGCTTCTTGTGACTCTTCATTGCTGAGATTGCAACCAGTCTTGTTAGAAAAACCAAAGACACAACTTCCTGAAAATTTTCGTTAATGCAAAAATGGGTTTGTTTCTTTGGCAACAGAAGAGTCCACCGTGGGAAAGAGGTTTTCTCAGCACCTAAGCTGTCCTAAGTAACAACAAAAGCTGTCCTAGCACCTTGGACCCCGAGTACTCAACATGCAAAGACTTTGCAGTAGCCCTAGTTGGCCCAGCCCAACCCTGCCCTGGGGTACAGTTTTATCTCAGCCTGGCTTTTATCTGCATGAAGAGAGTGAAACAGTTCTAAGGTTGAGAGAGGATAGACTGAATCACCATTTTAGAGAGATCACTTTGTTGAGGGGCAAAGCCAAGTGCATTTATCACATTCACATATCACATCTCCTATCATTTTCTTTTCCTCTAAATGGAATCACCTTTCTACTTCTACCCAGTTATTTTAGACGGGAAGTCACTGTGTGTCTACCAAAGGAAGTCCCTCCTGCCTGAAGCCTAGTTTCTCCAGAAAGCAAATCTAGTTACAAAGCCCTAGATGACTGGGGATGTGAGTCTGGTGGTATAGGACAGGGGGATTTGACACAGGGAAGGAAGAAAGGCCAATACAAGGGTGCCTCACCATGCTGGCCTCTGCTTCAGGCAACTGGTACTCCATCTCACTGGGACCTTCTGGAAAGCGTCATGAAATGTTTCTCTCAACTCCCCATCTGGGTGATGAAAGTGGAAAGCAGTTATCCATCATCTTCCAGCCCCCTTGGATCAAGAGTATCCCCATTGGTTCTAAGTCCCTCATATTTCCAAGTTGCACATGCTTGAGTGCAGACTTTCCAAGGGAATCTGAGGTGAAGGCAACAGAGAAGCCTCAAGTGCCAGAAGCAAACTGAGAAAGGTATGGCTCAGATAAAGTGCTGTCAGGTTCCATGAGTGCAAAAGAGATCCCCTGGACCAGTGTGGGTTGGCTGCTTACCCATGAAATGTTCTAGAACTCTTCACAGGAGTAGTAGGCTGGTTGGAAATTGGCAGGGGAGGACTAAAATTTCCTCAACTCACCTTTTGGTTCTGTCACTGTGTTTACCTGAGGGTTATTGTACCAGGCTAGGGTGACTGGGATTCACTGTCCAACTTGGCTAGTAGTATACCCTGTCCAACCACTCTGTAAAGATGGCGGGGGTAGGGGGGAATGTAGGTAAGAGTGGTCCTGTAAGCTAGGCACTCTCCCAAAGTTTCCACTACCCATGAGATGGATGGCCCACTCCTGCAATGGCATGACTGTGACTAGGGAGGGGTAATTCTGAGTGTTGAAACAAAACTTGAAAAGGCACAGAAACAGCCAGCCTTATGGCTCAAATACTGTCTACCCCCAAAGTTGATGGGTTGCCCCCCCACACACAATGGGGCACCGTCCTAACCTTTCCCCCAGGTGGCCCAATGCAGTTTCCTCTCCCCTTGACACTGAGGCATTGCTGGGGCAGGTGAGGGAGAGTGGCTGTGTGTCTGCAATACCATCTGAAGGGAACTGACAAAACAGGACAGCAGAGGGAGCTTCCTCAAACTGCACATAAAGAACACTATGCTCTTCCCCTGGTTGGACTTAAATATTTCTGAACATCAGAGTTCTCTATCAAGTAAAAGGAAGTTGGGAGGGGAAATGCCACCTCTGTGAAATATCACCCGAAGAAAAACCGAGTGACTTGCCATTAGTTTGAAGACGGCAAGAAAGGAACATCTCAGAAGTGGAGCCTCATCCTTCGATTTTTAACACAAGAGGAATTGTTCTTTGGCAAGTAAGTACATTTATTATTAGCTTAATATGGGGATAGCTTGGTGGATCTAGTTACCAACAACCTAACTGCTTTTTAAACAAACATACCTCCAATATGCATCCCTTCCCCCCAGAGGGCCTTCTGGGGGTCTCTTATTCCGACATATTGGAGAATCATTATTAGAGTTATGACTCTAGATGGTGGAAAGGAAAGTGGAAACTGTTAGTCGCTTAGTCGTGTCTGACTCTTTGTGACCCCATGGACTGTAACCCGCCAGTTCCTCTGTCCAAGGGATTCTCCAGGCAAGAATACTGGAGTGGGTTGCCATTTCCTTCTTCACGGGATCTTTCCAACTCAGGGACTGAATCTGGGTCTGCTGCACTGTAGGCAGATTCTTTACTGCCTGAGCCACCAGCAAAGCCTGGGCATCAGTTATGGCCCTACACGGTAGAAAATATTAATTTTTCAAGCTGAATTTGAGTTTTCCAAAGCCAGTAAAATTCTGATGAATAAGTGAATCCAGGCTAATTCTGATTAAAATACAGTATGGTTGATAAGACAATCGCATGTGACTGACAGACTAACTCTGGGGTGGTTCCCCAAGAGGGGTCCCAAACATCTGGGCAGCACCCAGACTAGGTCTCTGTTGGAATCAGAGAGGATCACATCAAAGCACAGCTTTCATTTTTATTCCTAATGTTTAATATATTCACTAAAAAAAAAAAAATCAGCTTGCTCACATTATAGTACATAATATAGCCAAGTAATGATTTCCGTATGTCTTTTCTCTTCCCCTTTTACTGACACTCTTTCACTGATTGAAATCCTCTACCCCTTTAAGACACAGTCTTTGAGTTCAGTTCAGTTCAGTCGCTCAGTTGTGTCCGACTCTTTGCGACCCCATGAATCGCAGCACGCCAGGCCTCCCTGTCCATCACTAACTCCCGGAGTTTACTCAAACTCATGACCATCGAGTCAGTGATGCCATTCAGCCATCTCAACCTCTGCCGTCCCCTTCTCCTCCTGCCCCTAATCCCTCNTGCAATCACCATCTGCAGTGATTTTGGAGCCCCCAAAAATAAAGTCAGCCACTGTTTCCACTGTTTCCCCATCTGTTTGCCATGAAGTGATGGGACCAGATGCCGTGATCTCAGTTTTCTGAATGTTGAGCTTTAAACAGTCTTTGTGTAGAAGCATTTAAAAACAGAAACATTTGTTTTTCTGTGTTAATATAGTAAGAAAGAAGTAGTTTCATGACTTAAGTACTGCCGTGGGCAAAATATGCCCTCCCTGGTGCTCTGTGTTTCTCGATATGTTCTAAAGAGGGTCCAAGCTTTCATGGGTTGGCTGGCTGGTGTCCAGGGCCCTTTAATTCTCTGTTTCTAGTCTTCAACATCTCCCAGCAGTGGGAGAGTGGTGGTTGGTTCTTGGAACATGCGCAAGGCAGGGTCACTTCCTCAAATGTCCGTCAAGTCTTGCTTTTCCCTCAAGATTGTGCTGTGATTTAGAGGTTGCTCAGATTACAATCCCTGACTCATTTCAGGCAGTAAACTAAGAGGTTTTACAACCCACGGCAGGCCAATCTTCCTTCCCGGATGACTTTTATTTTTTTTTTCTTTTCAGGTTGTGAAGATAAATCCTGTCTTTTACTTTTAGGAGCCTAGATACCCATATACTCCAGCCAGCGTTTCCTCGGTGTGTTTTGCAAACATCACGGGCGAACCCTCTGTGTGGGGGCAACTGAATTGTCTTCTGCCCTGCCTGGTGTAAGCTGTGAGGTGCCATCTCTCACGTGGCTTGAAGCTGTTTGCCTTTGTTTTCCGTCCTCCCCAGCAGAAGCCATGGGTCACACAATGAAGTGGGGAACACTACCACCCAAGCGTCCATACCTCTGGCTCTCTCAGCTCTTGGTGCTCGCTGGTCTTTTTCACTTCTGTTCAGGTAAGCAACTTTCAAGAACTTGACTGAGTCCACCACTTCGGGGTTTGGAAGGGAAAGGACATGGCGTTCTCTGTGCTGTCTCCTTCTGTCGCCCTGCAAGAGGAAAGGGACATTCAGGGTATTTCAGTCCATTTTAGGGATGAGAAAACAGGTTCAGAAAGGTTAAAGGACTTGTCCTCGATCACACAACAAGCCAGTGGCCAAGCTAGCTCAGGAACACAGACCTTAAAGGAAAGGTGGGGCCGTGTTATTTTAACAAAACCAAAAGCCAATTCAGAAGGACAGCTTAGAGTTGTGATCTCCTCCACTAGATGCTCATTTACGTTCTGTGACACACTCAGGGCACACTGGCCTTGGGCTCTGCTTCCCAAGCTACATTTCCATGAGACAACACAGCTAACATCCTCTGCTTCTAAAACTGAACAGCAATGATCTTTCCAAGTTGAAGGAGGAAAAGAAAGTAGTGGTGATATACAATCTTTTTCATATTAAAATTTTCTCTCAATATTTACTTTTATGCTATATGTGCCAATGCCCTTTGTCAATGCTGGCATCTAACATTAGGTATCAGATTTAGCACAAATCATATTTTGAGTTACTTTTAACTTACTACATAGGTATTTCAGGTGCATCCTACAAAGAGTATTTTGACTTCTGGAGACTTTATCCAGCTCAGGTGCTGAATTTGGGGGGCTGTTGGGAAGGATGGTGCTGATTCTGCTGACAGGGTGGTTCTGACTTTTTTTTAGAAGGCAGAACAAATAAAAGATCTGCATTTCTGCTGAGCAGCATACCTGCCTGGTTTCCTCAAAATAAAGAGGAGGTTTTGCCTCCTGCACAGTTTCCTAGTCTTCAAAGAACCAAATATCAAAGGATCTTGTCTTAAGCTCTGCTTGCTCAAACTGCAGTCATCACCCAGAATGACTTTGCGGGTTGCGGGGCGGGTGGCGGGGCACAGGGGGGTTGGCACAGTAGCGAAAGATGATCACAATACAGGTATTTATACATTTTCTGTCCTGAAATTGCTATTTGACACTGTTGCTGAAGCAAGAGAACCATGATTCAAGTTTCACAATTTATACATCAGATTTTGCAGATACTTAACAGTAATATTTCCAACAGTTATAATTTTTTTTCTGGGTAGTTGAAGGCAGCATTCCCAATCTAGAGTCTTCTGGGGAGTCTAAATGAGCTTTACAAGATTTAAAAGTAAATTTACAGGCTTCCTAGAAATGTGGTGCGTGTGCAAGCATGTGTGTGTGTGAGAGAGAGAGAGAAAGAGAGAGAGAGAGGTGGGGGAGGGGTGAGGAGAAAGAAACAAACAATAAAAAAGAGAGAAAGCATAAAAAGAAAATTAAAACCAAGACTTTAGCAATTATACCAGAAAAATTAGAAGTACTTTGAACTAAAGCTAAAGAAATGTTTTTGGAAAGCACCCTGCCGTACAGTCACACCCAGATTTTATTGTTGCTATACTGAGTCAACAAAGGAATCCATGAACTTCTTTTGTCTGAACACCTGCTGTGTAAAAGATGGACCTTGGAAAAACTGAGCCTCAGATTCCTGCTCTCAAAGAGAGATTTGAGTATGTTAGCTGGAGAAGGCCAAAGTAATTAATCTGCAAGCAAGTGAAGAGCAGAGAAGTGCCTGGCTCTGACTGTAAGCGCCCCTGACCTGGGAAAGGCAGGCAGGCTTTATGGGGGAGGATGGGGATCGCAGCAGCAGAGCTTGAGCAGAGCTGTAGCACGGACAAATGCACAAAGATGAGGATGAGTCAGCGGGTGGGGGACTCATTTTCTGGTTTAATCATTTGTATATTCAACAAACACTGAGCCTCTCTTATGTACAATACACTTTTCTTGGTCCTGAGGACAAGCTGTTAGCAAAATTGACGTGGCTTTTGCCTTCATGGAGTTTAGTCATTAGCATGAAGATGAAGATGAATCAATCATTAAAATGAATATATGACCAAGAAACATGATGTTTCCCTGCCAGAGGTGGTGAGAGTGAGCTGGGTGAAGGTGGAAGAAGCAGCATGTGAGGGACATGGAGGAGCAAGGAAGTGAAAATGGGCAATGTTGGGGCAGTAGGGAGACAGAGACTAGACTCTGTGCTCCAAGGCCAGGGATCTGGAAGTTATTTGGAGGACTGGAAGGCCACAGAGGATTTTAAGCAGGGGAGTGACAGTCTCTGCCAGGGTTGCTCACACTTTAATTATACATACCAATCACCTGGAGGACTCTTTAAGAAGCAGCTTCTAGAACAGGGGATTTTTTAAAAAATTTTAATTTATATTGGAGTAGAGTTGATTAACAATATTGTGTTAGTTTCAGGTGTACAGCAGAGTGATTCAATTATACATATACACGTGTCTATTCTTTTTCAAATTCTTTTCCCATTTAGGTTATTACAGAATATTGAGCAGAGTTCCCTGTAGCACAGGGGATTTTTAGAGCAGTGAAAATACTGGGTATGATACTGTAATGGTAGATGCATGTCATTATACAGTTGTCAAAACCCATAGAATGTACAGCACCAAGAATGATGTCTAATGTAAACTGTGGACTTTGGGTGATAGTGATGTGTCAGTGTAACTTCACTGATTGTCACAAAGGTACCACTCTGGCATGGGATGTTGATAGTGGGGGAGGCTGCACCCATGGGAGCTGGGGTACATGGGTACTGTCTGTACTTTATGTTCATTTTGCTATGAACTTAAAACTGCTGTAAAAAATAAAGGCCATATATGTATTTTTAAAAATGCAGTTTCTGCTTAGGTGGGCTTTGGGGAGGGGCCAGCAAATCTGTATCTAACAATCAGCCAGGTGGTATTGATGCTACTGGTCCATAGTCCTTTAGGTTTAGTAGTAAAAGATACATTATACAAAAAAAGACAAAGACAGTGCTGCTAAAGCATGAAGAATGGCTTTTAGAGCAGTCAGTACAATCAGGGAGGACTTTGTTCAGGGCAGGGGATTTGCCCCCTCCTCTCCTCCCCTGTGCAGGAAAGCTACACTTGCACCTGTCCTCATCCGCTGCTCCCCGGGACAGGGGGACCTCTTTCCTGCACAGGGCAGCACCAGCAGGGCTCCTGTTTCACTTCTGGTTTGGTCTGCAGAGGGAGGAGCACTGGACTCATGTGCTCCAGAGACTGGTGGTCGTCTAATATGGGCACCTTTTTCTCAGAGCTAGGGTCCTCTCAGGGAGACACAGCCCTAAGGAGAGGAGAGAGACCTTAGGTAGGAGTAGGCCAGGAATTCAGGACAGGTGTTGGCCTGGAAGTCTATAACATGAGGAACACTGAGCTAGAGGAAAAGAGGGCCCCAGAGTGCCACTGTAAACAGGGCCTCTCCCCTGTCGCCATGTTCTGTCTGCATGCCGCTGGCCAAGATGTCCCCAAAGCCACGCTTCTTGCTATGACTACGGTGGTACCAGCTGTTCAAGTACCTGAGCATTCTGGAGAGAGACACAGAAGTAAGGATCAGATTTACAAAGAGCATGTAGTCTGGGTCTGTAGAGGAAAGTTGAGAGCAATGTATAAATCAGGTCACCCCTGTAAATTTGTCAGCTGCTGGAGAGCAGATGCCTTTAGCCCCCTTGTGTACCCAGCACCTAGCTCAGGGCCCACACCAGCCCTGTGGATGCTGGCTCACTTAATCAAAAGCACTTAGAAGGGTCCCAAAAGGTCACTTCCATTGTGTTAAAGGTCACATAGACCATTAAATCTCCAGATGGTGAGATTATAGGTGATTATTATGTTTTTCTTTATTTTTCATTCTGTCCAAATTTAATGTGTGTTTCTTTTAGAGTCAGGGAAAACCTTTATTTAAAAAGCACACCACAGTCCTCAGCAAGATACACAACAGCACACGGTGATCTAAGCTGCTGTGGGCACCTGATTTTTTCTCCTTTAAAAGTGTTGGTACAGCTCTCCTGACCACTGCTGGGCTTCACCTATGAGGAAGGGGTGCTGTGGCCAGCCCACTGTGCCCACACTGCCTCCCCCTTCTTTGGAGGGACTAGGGGAGACTCATGGCTCCCTATACTGGGTTCTTTTTTCTTTAAAGCTTAATATTAAATTTTATTGTAGTATCTCCCAATTGTCCTGCATTGGTTTATTGCTGTTTTTCCTGCAAAATGGTAAAAATTTTTTTTTACCATTTTAAAGTGTGTGATTCAGTGGTTTTTAGTATAATCACAAAGAAGTGAAACCATCACCACTATAATTTCAGAACATTTCTATCATTCAAAAATGAAACTCCAAACCCATTAGCTGTCCCTCTCCATTCCCTCTACCCCACCTCTTGGTAGACATTAATCTAATTTGTCTCCATGAATTTGCCTATTCTGGACATTTCTTTTAACTGGAGCTATATAATATATGGCCTTTGCGTCTGGCTTCTTTCATTTAGCACAATGTTTTTAAGGTTCGTCTATGTTGTAGTAACAGTGCCTCACACCTGTTCTGGTTAAATAATATTCCATTGTATTTTGAGTTCTGAGAGGTACATTATTTGTCTAGAACTAGCGTACTGTGCATTTGCTGGCAGAAAGCTCCCTCTCTTGGGGAGTTATCAGTGGGGAGCTGCTGTGATCGGGGCAGGAAGCAGGCAGAGGGGTCAGGAAGGGCAGGGGTTCTGAAGTGTACCCAGAGTGCCCTGCGGGTGGGGCGGTTTGCACACAGACTTGCAAGAGATGAGCGAGGTTGCCTTCCATCCCTGCAGCCCCTCCTCCCCCTCACAGTTGGGCAGACAGTTGGTGAATCCAAATTTAATGTGTGTTTCTTTTAGAGTCAGGGAAAACCTTTATTTAAAAAGCACACCACAGTCCTCAGCAAGATACACAACAGCACACGGTGATCTAAGCTGCTGTGGGCACCTGATTTTTTCTCCTTTAAAAGTGTTGGTACAGCTCTCCTGACCACTGCTGGGCTTCACCTATGAGGAAGGGGTGCTGTGGCCAGCCCACTGTGCCCACACTGCCTCCCCCTTCTTTGGAGGGACTAGGGGAGACTCATGGCTCCCTATACTGGGTTCTTTTTTCTTTAAAGCTTAATATTAAATTTTATTGTAGTATCTCCCAATTGTCCTGCATTGGTTTATTGCTGTTTTTCCTGCAAAATGGTAAAAATTTTTTTTTACCATTTTAAAGTGTGTGATTCAGTGGTTTTTAGTATAATCACAAAGAAGTGAAACCATCACCACTATAATTTCAGAACATTTCTATCATTCAAAAATGAAACTCCAAACCCATTAGCTGTCCCTCTCCATTCCCTCTACCCCACCTCTTGGTAGACATTAATCTAATTTGTCTCCATGAATTTGCCTATTCTGGACATTTCTTTTAACTGGAGCTATATAATATATGGCCTTTGCGTCTGGCTTCTTTCATTTAGCACAATGTTTTTAAGGTTCGTCTATGTTGTAGTAACAGTGCCTCACACCTGTTCTGGTTAAATAATATTCCATTGTATTTTGAGTTCTGAGAGGTACATTATTTGTCTAGAACTAGCGTACTGTGCATTTGCTGGCAGAAAGCTCCCTCTCTTGGGGAGTTATCAGTGGGGAGCTGCTGTGATCGGGGCAGGAAGCAGGCAGAGGGGTCAGGAAGGGCAGGGGTTCTGAAGTGTACCCAGAGTGCCCTGCGGGTGGGGCGGTTTGCACACAGACTTGCAAGAGATGAGCGAGGTTGCCTTCCATCCCTGCAGCCCCTCCTCCCCCTCACAGTTGGGCAGACAGTTGGTGACGGTGGGCACTGGGTGCCAGTTGGGAGCAGTACTCAGTGCACGTGTCAGCCAGTTACCACAGTGATTCTGGCCCCATCCTGGGTGTGACTCAACACAGAAGGCGCAGGAGGTGCTGTGCATGAGAAGCAACCCCATGGGGAAAAAACACAACTGTATAGCTTTTACGGTTCATAAAGCACTTTACATCTGGGTGTCATGTGACCCTGTGGTAATTAGGGGAAGTAAGTTAGGGAGATAGTATTATGACCATTTTGTAGAAATTATACCTGAGGCCCAAGGAGGTTAATCAAAGGTTATGAGTCTAATACACAGCAGATGGAATCAGATCCCATCTCCTAAGGCCTAGCCAGGCATTCAGCAAGTACTTAGGGAGCACCTGCTTTGGGCCAGGCCCTAGTTCTACAGACATGACAACAAGCAAAACAGATAAAGTCCCTGCTCTCATGGTCCCCAAAGTAACTCCAGCTGATATGTAGCAGCTAGAGACAAGCTCAAGAGAGAAACAAATCAGGGCAAGTGACTCAAAAGGAGCATGAGGATGGTGCTGGTTGGGGAGAGTCAGAGAAGGCTCACCATAAGGGGACATCTTCCCTGAAGGAAGCAAAGGACAGAGCTGTGTGGAAGTCTGGAAAGGCAACAGTCCTGATCGTGTGCCTGGTACTGGGTCAGGTTTTACCTACACTCCCTCACAGAAACCTCAACCCACATTATCAGGTAGGTGCTGCTAGGCCGTTTGTAAGACGGCAAAGCAAGCTCAGAATCCAACAATGCAGGCAGTAATGCTGAGACACGCCTCTCCCCTCCAGAACCACTGAAGCAGACACAACCCTTCAGAAGTCTTTCAACAGTTTTCTTGTAACCATGTGTAGCAGAGTCCCTGAGTATGAAAGCCAGGTCCTGGCGGGAATTGCCCAGAAGATTTTTGTTCCTCTTTTCAGTCTGGTTCTTCCTCAGCAACAGAGTCTGGTGAGGGGATCTCACATAGGAACATCGAAGAGCCCATTGATGGTTTGCTGTTGACCTTTACACAAACACCCACACTTCTCCTCAGATGGCTGGACAAAAACTCCTTAAGAACCATCATTGAAATTTTTCAGTGAAGAAAATTTTCAGATCAGTTTCAGTTAAGATTTCTTTTTGCTAATGTCACCACATGTCAAAATTAGAAATCCTGGATTATTTTTGGGTGGGAACAAACAGCGCAGGAAAGACTCAGTTATTCAGGACCCCAGATGACTGAGCTGCTTTCTGTCATGGGGTCTGTCTGGTCCACAGCAAGATCAGTGTCTGTCATAACCCCAGAGTGAAAGAGACCAGAGGGTACGAGAGGAAGGAGAAAGAGGAAAGGAAACCTTTATGGAAGACCTGCTAGGTACTAGGGACTTTTCCACATATACAATTTAATTTGAATTTAAGTTTTCAATCATCCTGAGAGGTTGGCATCAAACCATTTTACAGATGAGGAAACAGGTTAGTCAGTAAGTGGCTGAGCTGGGACTAGAACCCAAGTCAACAGGAATCCTTCTACATACCATTTTGTTTTAGTTGTATCTTTTTTTAAAAGAGAGTTTTGATTATTTAGCTATTTCATGCTCTCCTAAAATATAAAGGGACTCCTGAAAGTCCCTAGGAGTTCAAACCAGTCAATCTTAAGGGAGATCAACCCTGAGAACACTTTGGAAGGACTGATGCTAAAGCTGAAGCTCCAATATTTTGGTCATCTGATGCGAACAGCCCTCACTGGAAAAGTCCCTGATGCTGGGAAAGATTAAGGGCAGAACGAGAAGAGGGAGAGGAGCTGTCAGAGCATGAGATGGCTGGATGGCATCACTGATGCAATGGACATGAACTTGGGGAAACTTTGGGAGATGGTGAGGGACAGGGAGGCCTGGCATGTTGCAGTCCATGGGGTCGCTAAGAATCGGACATGACTGGGTGACTGAACAACAAAGTATAACTTTTCATTTATTTCCCTTTTTCAGTTATATTCCCTAAATCTAGGGCTGGCAATGTTCAGCACAACTGCTGAAAGAAGTGCCCTGGATCATTCTAAGGTACCTCACACTGCTGTGAAAATACCCGCAATCACAAAACTCTCTTCCTAAATGCTGCGGTGGGGCCACATCCAGTCTGATGTAGGCTGGAAGGTTGGCTGGGGAGGTGGAGACGGGCTAGTGTCCCATGATCCTGCTGTCCAGGGAGAGCAGGCCTGGAAATGAGATCCCTATCTTAGTGAGATGGGGGCCTCCCCGGGGGTTCTGTGTGGCTCTGAAGGATACGGAAGGGAAGATGTCAGCACTGGGGGCCTTCAGGGCTGGCCAGTTGTGAAAGTGCTGGGGTTTTGGAGGGGCTCTGCTTTTAGGTCAAGCACAGCGTGGGAAAAGTTACTATGCCTTCTAAGCAAAAAAACAGAAAATATAGTCTTTCAAGGATTTTGGTGCTACTGATGAGTGTTTAGGAGCTAACAAAAATATGAAGTTTGGTGCTGAAATTCTGTGATATGCTGATGGGAAATGGGCAAATGTTTTAAATGGGGATCTTCTTGCCAAGTTAGGTTGTAGGGGACCAGCTATTTGGATTGCAGATACCAAGGAAGATAAAGACAGGATAGCCATCTGTTTAAATAGATAGAGAGGGCAGAAATGGTCCGGAGGTGTAACTGAGGTCTTGTCACATGGAGATGAGGACAGTCATTTCAATCTGAAGTCACGGGTCAAGCTGGGCCTGGAAGATGGGACCCGGCTCAGAGCAGGCAGTGCTGGCTTATCTATCCTAGAACTAGGTCTCAAATGAGGGAAACAAATAAATAAGGAGAGTGATCCAAAAAGTTCTCTGCAAAACTGGGGCAGTTTTCTTTCCTATGCTTAGTTTTCTCATCTATAAAATAAGACCACCAAAATGAATGACCAGGGAAATTCCTTCAAAATCTCACATTCCTTAACTATGACTTCTCTGTCCCCATGGGACTGAGAACACTGTCTCACCGGTAGTTGGCATTCATGTGCTGGGGTCTCCTAAAGTCCTTCTTCTTTTGGGACTAGTGTAACTTTTCTCTCATTGTCCATGGACAGACAAATGGATAAAGAAAGTGTGGCATATATTAATACATACAGTGGAATATTTAGTCATTAACATCATTATCACTCCTTAAAAAGGAAGGGAATTCTGACACATGTAAAACACAGAGGAACCTTGAGGGTATTATGCCAAGTGGAATAAACCAGTCACAAAAAGACAAATAAATACTGTATGATTTGGAATCTGAAGTAGTAAAATTCATAGAAACATAAAGTTGAGTGGTGGTTACCAGGGGGCTGAAGGGAGGGAAAGGGGGGAGCAGTTTAATGCATACAGCATGGAAAATCTGTTTCACAACAATGTGAAGATACTGGACGCTACTGAGCTGTACATTTTAAAATGGTTAAGATGGTAAAATCTATGTTATTGTTTTAATCACGATTATTTAAATGGAGAAAAAAAATGCACTGGAGACCAAAAGAAAAAAAAAAATCAACTGAACACTCTGTCCAATCCTGCTTAGACACTAAATACAACACTCTGAATTCTGTTACTGCCAACTCTGAATTCCTGCTTGTGCAGGCATCTTACATTTAATAGACACAAGATCTTATTTTGTTTGCCTCTCCATAGGCATCATCCCAAAGAGTGTGACCAAAAGAGTGAAAGAAGCAGTAGTGCTATCCTGTGATTACAACACATCCACTGAAGAACTGACAAGCCTTCGGATCTATTGGCAAAAGGATAGTGAGATGGTGCTGGCTGTCTTGCTTGGAAAAGTGCAGGTGTGGCCCAAATACGAGAACCGTACCATCACTGACATCACCAATAACCCCTGCATTGTGATCCTGGCTCTGCGCCTGTCAGACAGTGGCACCTACACCTGTGTTATTCAGAAGCCTGAGACAGGGACTTATAAAGTGGAGCACCTGACTAAAGTGAGGTTAATGATCAGAGGTCAGTGGAACTTTCTGATTTTCAATAAGCCATCAATAGGAGTATGTCTTTGATGTCCTTAGAGACACATTCCTATTGGTTTAAGTGGAAATTTTACCAGAGGGGCCTATCTCACTTCATTTCTTAGGGTTGAGTCTCTAGTTTTACAGTAAATCCTAATTTATTTTCTCAGGATGTCCTGGAAATATTTGTTAGTTGCATTTCTTGCACTTTGACAGTCCAAGCTCATGTCAGCCACCCTGGAGCACTATTGTGACCTGAAGCACTTTCTGAATCATAAAGGGACACATTTGATTTGATGTAGTTGTACTATTAACTGCACTTGATCCAGTAATATATTCTCATAAAGTATATTAAAGGGTATAAAAGCTGCACAGGCATAAATACTTTTCAAGTAGTATTTGAATGTCTATTACTATGGCTATTTTACTATTATATTTATTGTATATTTGAAACTTTCATCTAATGTCATTCCTACAAAGTTAGATGTTAAAAAACTGTGAAGGGCAGGGTAGGAACCAGCCTTTACTTAATCACAGGTAATCCTGCTAGAGGACACAAATATGTCCTGAACCCTCATTGAGAAGTGGCAGCCCTGGGCCATTCCTTCATCCTTGAAATTCAAACACATTTCTTTTTCTTTCTGGGCACTTGAGCCTTTAGTGGAAACAAAACCTTTTAACAAAAGGTAAGAATTAATCTTGATAACAGTTAGCTTAAGAGGATCCTTAGTGAATTCTTCACTTTTCTTCCCTGCTTTTGGTCTTCGGCTATATTGAATCTTTAGTTGTGTAACACCCAGATCATACCTAAAGCTTAGGAAGTAAGCCAAATTTACACAGGGTTATCTTAAACTTCACTCTGTGTATTCCCTACCCATGGAGAGAACAAATATCCATGATCATATGGTGGGACGTGAGGGGCTCTGAGAAGCCTATCTCTTCCAAAATTTAGATCTGCCTGGATTCCTGCAATTCCCACTATTATAGCCTCTCCTACTAGTTTCAGCACTATGCTCCCCTTATGTATGTATGCTCAGCTGGTAAGTCATGTCTGATTCTTTGCAACCCCATGGACTGTAGCCCGCCAGGCTCCTCTGTCCATGGGATTTCCCAGGCAAGAATACTGGAGTGGGTTGCCATTTCCTTCTCCAGGGATCTTCCTGACCCAGAGACTGAATCCACGTCTCCTGCATTGCTGGCAGATTCTTTACCGCTGAGCCACCTGGGAAGCCCTCCCCCTCCCTCCAGGATCCCTGTTAAAGATGAAAATGTGTTACCTAGGTGGAGACGTTATCACAGACATATTAGCCTGTATCAGTTAATTACGTTTAGATACATAGTCCTTTAACAGAATATCCAGAGAGAAACAGACTCAGGACGTGTACATTTTGACAGAAAGATAAAGAAGATCCAAGGAGAGAAGAGGCAGAGTTTCAGGGAGGGTGGGCCTTAGTCGCAGGTCACAGTTGGAGACCAACGCAGCTAAAGGGCTAATGGGGGAGTGTTGTTTGAGGCTAACATGGCCTCAAACAGGGGGATGCGGCTCCAAAATCAGACAAGGGAAGACAAAGGGGGAAATACTGCTTAATTAGACCCAGAACAAATTCTGGTATTCCCAGTTGAATCAATTAGAATGGTGCTTCTCAAATGATAAGGTGCCTATGACTTGGGGACCTTGTTCAGCAGGTCTGACACTTCTGACAAGCTCCCTGGTGATGTCTGTACTGATGCTAAGGATTACAGTCTGAGAAGCAAGAAATTAAGTAAATGCTCATTTGGCCAAGGTGACCAGCTGTCTCAGTCTGCCAAGGACTGAGGGGTTTCACTGGACATGAGACTTTGGGTGTTAATACTGAGAAAGTCTCAGGCTAACTGGGACAGGATGATTTCTCTACATTGCCAAAGGATACAATAACAGCATAGTATCATGAAGTAGGATAGCTAGTTCCTCAAACGTGCTGCACGATGGATGAAAACCTGCACTAAGCAGCGAATTTGAGGAACTAGCTATACTAGTTAACATATTAACTAGGTTAACAAATTTTTACCTTTCTAAAACACATGCACCTTTTCCTTTCCTAGTAGGATATTCTTACTCTACCCATTAAGAGTGGTGAAAACTTGGGTTAACTGATTGAAATGAGATACAAAAGAGTAATTCTTCGATGGTTCATTCTTGCAAAACCTTTGGAGCTACTACTCCGAACAGATCATCTTACAGAAGGAATAGCAGACAGAGCATAGGCTGTTCTAAGCCCAGGCAGACCGTGAAAAGGTGATTTTCAATACGATCCTTGGTGTTAGTGGCATTCCTGTGGTTAAATATTTCTTAGAAAAGCAAAGTCCAGAAATGAACATGAATCATAATTTGGATATGAGTTCCTTGGATTTGTTATTCCAAGTGATAACATGACATACTGATATAAGAAACAAAATGTTAGCTACCATTGCAATGATTTGATCTTATAGGATAAATTAAAGGAGTAGAAAATAATAATGTCAACTAAAAATGGCTCAAAAAATGTCAAACAATTTAGGAAAAGGACTGATTCAAAAAAGAAAGGTGACTCTATCTGTATCTAGATCCAAGTTTTTCCTTGCCTTGGCAACTATAATCCCTTGTCATAACTTCTCCTCTCCCTTATTACCACCAGGCAGTCCTAGAAGCTTTCACCTGGCAACTTGATTTACATGAAGGAACTCCTCTAAGAGAGGACACATTTAAGACTCACATTAATTAGTCTAACTAACTTCCTGTATGTCAGTCTCTGGTCTATGTGATTTATGTTAATGATACCATTTAACTCTTATAACACTGGGAGGGAGGTATTACAATCCCCTTCGTACAATGAGCAAACTAAGACGGAAAGTGGTTAAGTAACTGGCCCAGGATTAAAGGCAAAACTGGTTTTAAAACCTGCCCTTGATGACCACTGTGCATTATACTACATCTCTCTGTGAGGTTCTGAATTCTGAAAAGAAAACTAACATATGAGATGAAGTATGAGGGGATTAGTCCTGTGTGTGTGTGTCCTGACTCTTTGAGACCCCATGGACTGTAGCCCATCAGGCTCTTCTGTCCATGGAATTTTCCAGGCAAGAATACTGGAGTGGGTTACCATTCCCTTCTCCAGGGGATCTTCCCAACCCAGGGACAGAACCCCCCGTCTCTTTCGTCTCCTGCATTAGTGGGCAGATTATATACCACTGCACCACCCACCACTCGGGAAGTCCACACTTGGATTGGTTCCCCACACTTATGCTATAGAAGTATAAATTCTTTAAGCCTCACAATAAGTGAGGAAGAGGTGAGTGGAGTTTTTTCCTGTTTCCTCTTCAGTCATTTCACTATGCTTTGCTTTGTGTATAATTTAATATGCTATTAGGGGTAAAAAACACAAATGAAATAGTGCCTCAAGTACTTTGGAGGAATATTAGGAAGGACTCTCTGTCCTTGTTAGGTGTATCAAAACAGCAAGGGGATCAGTCAAGTATGGTGGTTGAGATTATAGGCTCAACAGTATAAAAGTGGAACAGAGGCCTATCTGATTAAAGACTACTTTTGAAAATGTAAAGGTAATGCTAAACAAACGTTAGAGTAGTGTTACTCCAGGTGTGGGAACGAGGGGTCCAGCAAAGTTAAGACCATACAAGTAGATTTATGTAAGTTATTGTCAATGCTCTGGTTCTCAAGTTGGGTGGTAGGCTCCCAGGTGTATAGTATAGTACGAATTAATAAATAGATACATAAAAGAGGGTCAGTTTGTATACCTCAAAAATTAGGTAGAAAGGGAAGAAAAAGAAGTAAAAGAAATGAAAGGAAGGAAAGGAAAAGAAGGTAGACATATTTAAATCTGCTTGTTTGTAACTATCTCTAATACCATGCCATTGATATTTTTCTGAGGCTACATTTTTTTTTCAATATAATCTTATTTAATGTTTTAATAAGACAGCAGAGTTTAAAGCTCTAAAAAAAAAGGAAAAGAAATCGGGGGAAGGGAAGGCTCTGGTATCAGAAAAACTTGAATTCAGTTCTCCCACTTATTGGTTGTGATTTCTCTAGACCTCAATCTGATTATTCATAAAATGGAAACATTGTATTAGGATAAATAATATGAATTTACTGATATTTGACCTTTTTGGATCTACAACCTACCTCCTAGGGTTGTTTTAAAGACAAAATGAGATAACGTCCAGACCTAAGAAATATTAACAGCTCAATAAATGTTTTTAAATGCAAGCACTATGTCAATATTTATTCACATGAATTTAGTTCTTTAATAAGTGCCCTCCTACCTCCACTCCATCAAAAGTAATGAATTGATATAACCAACTCAACCTAAAGTTAGTCTTTGGGTTATACATACTAATACTTATGGGAAGTTGAAAATTATATTTTATTATTCTTATTAAAGTGATGTATTAAAAATATAATTACACACAAATATGTAATGATATGTATTTACATTCTTGTTCTTTCTTCAGCTGACTTCCCTGTCCCTACTATAAATGATCTTGGAAATCCATTTCCTAACATCAGAAGGGTAATTTGCTCAACCTCTGGAGGTTTTCCAAAGCCTCACCTCTCCTGGTTGGAAAATGGAGAAGAATTAAATGCTACCAACACAACACTGTCCCAAGATCCTGAAACCGAGCTCTTCACAATTAGCAGTGAACTGGATTTCAACATGACAAGCAATCACAGCTTCTTGTGTCTTGTCAAGTATGGGGACTTAACAGTGTCACAGACCTTCCAATGGAAAACACGTAAGTGACATTGTCCTGGGGAGTTTCTGCTGTGTAGAATCTAAAAAGAAAATAACTCAGCCAGATACATTATAGAATTATGCATATTGACTCTGATGCTATTACTTACAGTATTTTTTAGACATGCAAATAAAATAATAATAAAAGTGTTACTATGACTTATTAAGGTCACTGTACAAGGTTTGACTATAATGGTACTAATTTTATTTTCTTTAATAAACATTCTAAAATTTAGATATCCAACTAAGTTCTATCTGTCAAGTCAACATCTTAGGAAGTTATTACAATAATATTGTTGTTATTGAAAGCACTAAAATTTGCCCTTCTTTGAAACTGCTCTCTAGGCTTTGGCACTTTCATTTTTTAAAAATTTATTTTAATTGGAGGCTAATTACTTTACAGTATTGTGGTTTTGCCATACATTCAGATGAATCAGCCATGGGTGTACATGAGTTCCCCATCCTGACCCTCATGCATCGAGCCTGGACTGGTGATCTAGTTCATATATGATAATATACATGTTTCAAAGATATTCTTTCAAATCATCCCACCCTCGCCTTCTCCCACAGAGTCCAAAAGTCTGTTCTTTACATCTGTGTCTCTTTTGCTGTCTCGCATATAGGGTCATCATTACCATCTTTCTAAATTCCATATATATATGTTAACATACTGTATTGGTGTTTTTTTTTTCCTGACTTACTTCACTCTGTATAATAGGCTCCAGTTTCATCCACCTCATTAGAACTGATTCAAATGCATTCTTTTTAATGGCTGAGTAATATTCCATTGTGTATATGTACCACAGCTTTCTTATCCATTCGTCTGCTGATGGACATCTAGGTTGCTTCCATGTCCTGGCTATTATAAACAGTGCTGCGATGAACATTGGGGTGCACGTGTCTCTTTCAGATCTGGTTTCCTCGGTGTGTATGCCCAGAAGTGGGATTGCTGGGTCATATGGCAGTTCTATTTCCAGCTTTTTAAGAAATCTCCACACTGTTTTCCATAGTGGCTGTACTAATTTGCATTCCCACCAACAGTGTAAGAGGGTTCCCTTTTCTCCACACCCTCTCCAGCATTTATTGCTTGTAGACTTTTGGATAGCAGCCATCCTGACTGGCGTGTAATGGTACCTCATTGTGGTTTTGATTTGCATTTCTCTGATAATGAGTGATGTTGAGCATCTTTTCATGTGTTTGTTAGCCATCTGTATGTCTTCCTTGGAGAAATGTCTGTTTAGTTCTTTGGCCCATTTTTTGATTGGGTCATTTATTTTTCTGGAGTTGAGCTGGAGGAGTTGCTTGTATATTTTTGAGATTAATCCTTTGTCTGTTGCTTCGTTTGCTATTATTTTCTCCCAATCTGAGGGCTGTCTTTTCACCTTGCTTATAGTTTCCTTTGTTGTGCAAAAGCTTTTAAGTTTCATTAGGTCCCATTTGTTTATTTTTGCTTTTATTTCTAAAATTCTGGGATGTGGGTCATAGAGGATCCTGCTGTGATTTATGTCGGAGAGTGTTTTGCCTATGTTCTCCTCTAGGAGTTTTATAGTTTCTGGTCTTACATTTAGATCTTTAATCCATTTTGAGTTTATTTTTGTGTATGGTGTTAGAAAGTGTTCTAGTTTCATTCTTTTACAAGTGGTTGACCAGTTTTCCCAGCCCCACTTGTTAAAGAGAATGTCTTTTCTCCATTGTATATTCTTGCCTCCTCTGTCAAAGATAAGATGTATATAGGTGTGAGGATTTATCTCTGGGCTTTCCATTTTGTTCCATTGATTTATGTTTCTGTCTTTGTGGCACTTTCATTTTGGGAGCCCCCTTCCTATGATGGTCCCATGATGTCAAATCATTGTCCTTTGAAGGTGAATGTGCTTTTTAAGAAATAGTTGAAAAAAAAAAAAAAAAGAAATACTTGTTCATTCAGAACCAAGCCTGGCAAAGAAAGTGAATGACAAACTACTAGAGGACAATGCTTGAAAAAAGTGATCATTTTTGATCAAAACCATGATCAAATATTTACTCTACATGTAGTAAACTTATAAAATTTTCTTTCCCCAAGAGGTGAAGTCATATGAAAATATAAAATGGAAAAAGTAGGGTTTACATAAATGTATGCATATTAAATCCACAATGGGTTATTACAGAAGAACTCATATACTTGAAATACATTTCTAGCGTATTTGACTGATTATATGGAGCATCACCAGGCCTCTGCCCATCCCCCAACCCCACTTATAACAATATGTTTTGTGGCTGCATAGTAAAAGACAATACATTGTGTATAATATATTGATATTATGTATAGTATATCTTATATCTTATGCTTATCTTTGCTTGTATAATGTAGATATTTTAGATGGTCTACTAGTTCATCTTAGGTAAGATTAGGTCTTTCCATCTTGGGTGGATTCTTTGTTTTCCTTAATAGGTAATGAGATAAAATTTGGGGCAAAAATTAGTTCAGATACAAACCAAATTTTGTTGACATGATTTTATTAATAGCCCAAACTCGTCTCTATTTCATGTATCCTAAACAAGTTTATAAAAATTAAGTTTGAATCATAATTAATTCAGCATTCTTGTCATTTTATTGATATATAATCAATTTTAGATCATCATGATTAAGGTAGAAGTTAATAAGTACAGCTTCAATTATATTTTATTTTGGATATCATTTATATTTGGAATATGAATATGTATGATATTCTGGGGCAACGGTTAACAAAAATTTTCAGAAAAGGGCCAGATGGCAAATATTCTTCACAGGTCATAGTCTCCAGCCACAACTCAGTTCTGTTGTTATAACATGAAAACAGCCATAGACAAGACATAAATGAAGGACATAGCTGTATTCCAACAAAATTTTATTTAAAAAAATAGGTGGTAAGCCAGGTTTGGCCTGTGCATAGTAGTTCATTAACTTAAAGGAAATAGAATATAGTCCTTTAAATAAAAGGATGGATCTATTCTTTAAAGATGATTTAGACTACCCAGCTTTATCATCATTTCTCTAATTTGCCTTTTCTCAACTCTTCCTTCACACTAAAGATGAGCAGTATCCCTTTTCAGAATAATTAAAAATACTAGCTCTCTGTCCTCTTTGGGGTGTCAAGGGGTGACTGCATAAACAAATGTAAATTAGTGTATAGTTGATAGACATTTTGAATGGATATGAGCAAAGCTCTACTATTTAAATACCTACTCTTAACCCTGAATTTATTAATTAAGCAGACTGGGTCTGTGGCTCTTTTAGCCTGGGCCCGCCCAATTTGTTAACCCTTGATGTATTGGAACATATAGGGGTGTGTGTGTGTGTATAAGGGGTGAATCAGGGAGACCTACTCAGGCTGTCTTATGAGCTATATGTGCAAATGTCCTCACACAACTATGCACTTGGGATTTTGGGTCTTCCCTGTGGAGTAGTGCCAGGTTCCTAATAGGCATCACGAGAGAGTGGGAATGCTGTTACTGATTCCTCCTTTCTCTTAAACACTTACCTTCTTCTAGGCTGAGTGAGGCTTGAGAATGAATAAGGAGTGACCTCTGAGAGGAAGCCTGTGAAACATCTAGACTCCCAGGATAACAGCAAGAGCTTCTTTGTTATTTTGGGTGTCATTTTGGTTTGCAAAGGCCAACCCTGGTAACCACTGGATGTCTCCATGCAAATGGGTGTTTTAGAGAAAAATAGAAAAACAACTTACCCTAGTTTTCAGGTAGTGGGTGCTCTATGGTCAAATGTGCATTTTATAATTACCACTGTGGCAGAATGTATAGGAATTATTAGAGCCTAGAACACCAGAGGCAAAGAGACCATAAAGGCTACTTGGTTGGAGATCAGAAAAACCTGAACTAATTCCTGCAAGAGATTTGGAGAAAAGATTGCAGAGATAGTCTCAATACAGAATAGAAAGTCAGTGGGAGCTACTGAGCAGTAAGCATGAAGGCAAGCCTTCCCTTGGTCACTGATGGTGTTGCCATTAACTGAAATAGGAGAATGCAGGTGGTAGATATACTTTAGAAAGAATACATATGTTGAGTTCAATTTTAACCAAATGGAGAGGCTGGCATCAAACCATCTAGTTATCAGTTGGAAATACAAATTTGGGGCTCAGAAGTGAGATCAGAAATATGATACACAGACTTAGAAATCAGCTGATGTTTCCAACCTTGGGTGTGGCTAAGATCACCCATGATTACCAGGGCTAGTGAGAGAATGGGACCACAGATGGAACTATGGGGACAAGTTAAAGAATAAAAAGAGGAAGAAGAGCTGATGAACAAAACTGAATCACAACAAACAGAAATAGACGAATATGGTGTCACAGAAGTCACAGGAGGAAAAGTGTCAACGGGACTGAATGCTGATGAGAAGAAGTCCAATAAGCTAAAGACCAAAATTTATCCCCACGGCGTGTAATCAGAAAAATGAGAATCAAGTACTTTAGTATTAATAAATGTTCAATATTTATTGATGAGCCATTCCAGGGAAATCAGAGGAGTATGAGCTGCTAGTATTCCTTTAGTGTCTCTGCCCTTTCTCCAGCTGTTGGTGCTAACTATTCCTTAAAGGAGGTGAAGAATAAATGGTGTAGCTGCTGCTCCTGAGTGGAGGACTGACAGAGTACCACATACACCTTTCTACTCCCACCCACATCCTTCCTCGTGTGCCCTCTCTTCTTTCTGTTCCCTGTGTTCTACAGATGAGAGCAAGTTTGCAGAGCCCTCCTCCAGGGTGATCCTACCTACCACCAAGCAACAGCCATGCTTGGTTCTTTGCTAGGTCTCTTCTGTTCTTCCCGAAGTTCTAGGCTGAATGATGAAAAAGGTATTATCTGAAAATGAATGCAAAGTGACTTCTGTAGTTTTAGGCAGTTATTGTGAGGTGTGTATGTGTATGTGTGTGTGCGTTAAAGAGGACACCCTAAAAGGGAGAAGGCATGACAGAGCTGGAGAAGGAAAATCTAGAAGGTACATTTAGAACACAACATCAACTATTGGTAGCAGTACATAGTAATATCAGCTATAGAAATACTTCTATTTATTTTTCTACTTTTATTTATTTAAAAAAATTGCTTATTAAGCTCTGATATTTGTTTATTTGGCCACAACCACACAGAATGCATGATCTTAGTTCCCTGACCAGGGATTGAACCTACACCCCCAGCATTGGAAGTGCAAAGTCTTAACCACTGATCATCCAGGGAAATCCCTAAAATAGCTTTTAAAGGCTCTCCTGAGAATCTTTTCTTTGTGCCAACTTAATTTAGTAAATGCAAACATTTAAATTTTCTTTTTCACATTCAATATCTACTCTGACATCTGATATTAGTTGCTCATAAGTATGTGTCTGATTAAAGAGTTATGCAAGAAAAATTATAGAATCTGCATTTTGAAGAGCTGACCAGGCAAAGAAGTGAAAAATGCTTTACAGTTGTGTCATTATAAGGGGCATGGAAGGGTATCAGGCAGCTGGAAACACATTAGAGCTGACACTGTTCTTTTCCCTCAACAGCCAAACCAACCCCTTCTGCTAATCAGCACCTGCCCTGGACCATTACCATCACAGTCTCAGCATGTGGGATTGCTGTGATCATTGCAGTTACAGTAACATGCCTGACCTGCAGTAAGTAATATTGTACTCTGGTAATGATCTCAATTCTGGACATCCAACCTCTTATCAGTACAGGTCAGCATCTCTCTGAACTTTTAAGCCTATTTTATTCTTTTTGGAGCAAATCTATGGAAACTTTAGTGTCTCCTTTACTTGTCTCAGCAAGTTCTGTTCATTCCCTGCACAGATATTTCTTGGACACCTACTATGTGCCTGGCACTCTACTAGGCACTGGAGTTACACAGATGAGAAATCACTGACCTCAAGGCACATTCTAGCTTAGTCCCTTTATCTTCCCCCTAACTCTGTATTTTCTTGGAGATACTGAGGCTTGCTAACTAAATTGATAACATATCTGATGAAAAGCAATAGTCTAATCTTTGATTTGGAGTTGGAGGAAAGGAAAGAATGACAAGGTTTAGGGGCAAGAATCATTTTCATGGAGGAGGGTAAGATGCACTAACGAGATGTAGTTGAGTAATTACATCACTACAGGTGATTTACCAACTCTCAGTTCTTCAGAATGTATTTTTCGATGAAAGATCAGGAGTGGTTGAGGAAAGAAGAGATATTTAGGATAGGATATCTTTTTCCTATGAATCTAAATCTTTGGCCTTACACATATGCTATACTCAATCTCTGTAATTAAATGAAGAGGAACTGCTAGGCCAGTGTTAAGGCTATAGTCACCGTGAAGGAACACCAAGCTTTCTTGGAGAAGAAATTTTGTACACTGAGCAAATTGGAAAATCAACATCTGCTGACTTTTCCAACATCCGGCACACACAAAAAATCAAGGCTCGAGGAAGTCACTAGAGACTTTGCTATGAACAACTTACGTCACGGGTAGGATAAAGAGGTCTGGTGGGCTCAAGGACGTTTCTAATACAGACTGTCCAGCCCTACCTCTCTAGTTTACATTTTCTCATCCTTAGTACTATTGACTTTGAGGGCTGGATAATTCTTTGTTCTGCGCATTGCGATGCTTAGCGGCATCCCTGGTCTCCTCTCAATGTATTACAATAGCACCTCTTGCCCCAGTTGTGACAACCAAAGATGTGTCAAAGCATCACACCTGTCCCTCGGTGGGGGTGGGGGTGGAAACCTGGGGTTGAGAACCACTGCTATAGCTCTAAGCCAATTGAAGTTTTGCCAAAATACATGGGCATGATTTAAGGGAAGATTACCTATCTAGATTTTTATTGCTTGCTCTTGTCTTCAAGGAAATGCTGCAAGATGGAGACAGAGAAGGAGGAATGAGGAGAACATGGTAATAGAAAGGTATTCTCTATCTACATAGAATCTGTGGAAGGATCAAGCTGACCAGAACACCTGGAGGTATCTTCTCTACCAATGTGGGATATGTGAGATCTTGTGGCTTGTGAACACAGGGTTTTCTTCCTCTCAGGACCAAACCTAAGATCCTTTACCAAGTACCACCTTCTCAAAATCCTCATTCAGAGTACTCTCAACAGGTGGTTGGCACATCTCTCCTTTCTCCTCACATAAAATTTGTTTAGTGTAACCTTTTCCTTTGTCATGCCATTCTGCCATCTTAAAATGTTCCCCTCTTTTCAGTCAACTCAGTGTCTTTTAGTATTTGTCAAACACATGTACTATTTCTGAGCTAACTCCTTATTCTCATCATTCCTTTTTCCCTGTATCCCTCAGCACTGGGACACAGAGTGGGATTAGTAGCTCTGTACTAATTCAGTAATATCTCATTGGTCTGTCTGCCTCTTACTAACAGAGTCATCCCACTGACCCAAGCATAGAGCCATTTTCATAAAGAATTACCTCTTTGGGTCATTTTCTCACTTAAAAAGAGACCCCAGTGTCTACAGGAAAGGCTTCAGAGCTTACTTTCCATATTCCAGTTATCTCCTCAGTGTAAACATCCTCAGTTGTTTCTATCCTCCCTCACATGGCAGTTTCCAGGAGCACATGTGCACACCTTAAATGTCAGTAAGTGGTATCCAAGACTTTAGATTTGATCTGATTCTAAATATATATGATGGAGTAATTACTGTTCATCCAAGGATGTTAAGGGAGCCTAACATAAAATCAGCTTTTGTAAGTAACACTATTACAAGTGTTAATCGCTCAGTCATGTCCGACTCTTTGTGACTCCATGGACTGTAGCCAGCCAGGTTCCTCTGTCCATGGGATTCTCCAGGCAAGAATACTGGAATGGGTGGCCATTTTCTTCTCTAGGGGATCTTCCCAACCCAGGGATTGAGTATGGGTCTCCTGCATTGCAAGCAGATTTTTTACCATCTGAGCCACCAGGAAAGCTCCAATTTTGGGCTTTGAGGAAGCCCAATTTGCACTATTCTAAAATCCCCAGGTCTTTTAAGAGAAACGTTGGGACATCAGAATCCAAGAGACTCATATCAGGACCAGGATGGTTTACAGTCTCCATAAACAGTTCAGTTTTGACTTGTGAAGGTTAGGGTAACAGCTGCATACAAAAATCAGACTCTGCAGTTACTTTTAAAAAGTAAAAAAATGAGATCTAACACCTGAGACTTACAGAGCAGGTTATGCTTTCAGTTTAGTTCAGTCACTCAGTCGTGTCCAACTCTTTGTGACCCCATGGACTGCAGCACCCCAAGCTTCCCTGTCCATCAACAGCTCCTAGAGCTTACTCAAAACTCAGATCCATTGAGTCGGTGATGCCATCCAACCATCTCATCCTCTGTTATCCCCTCCTCCTCCTACCTTCAATCTTTCCCAATATCAGGGTCTTTTCCAATGAGTCAGTTCTTCAAATCAGGTGACAAAAGTATTGGAACTTCAGCTTCAGCATCAGTCCTTCCAATGAAGATTCAGGACTGATTTCCTTTAGGATTGACTGGTTGGACTCCTTGCAGTCCACGGGACTCTCAAGAGTCTTCTCCAACACCACAGTTCAAAAGCATCAATTCTTCGGCACTCAGTTTTCTTTATAGTCCAACTCTCACATCCATACATGACTACTGGAAAAACCATAGCTTTGACTGGACGGGCCTCTGTTGGCAAAGTAATATCTCTGCTTTTTAATATGCTGTCTAGGTTGGTCATAGCTTTTCTTCCAAGGAGCAAGTGTCTTTTAATTTCATGGATGCAGTCACCACCTGCAGTGATTTTGGAGCCCCCAAAAATAAAGTCTCTGTCTCCAGTTTCCCCATCTATTTGCCATGAAGTGATGGGACCAGATGCCATGATCTTAGTTTTCTTTACAAAAGCATTATTTCATCTTATAAAAGTCTCTATAAGCAAGACCGGTTTTTTGTTGTTGTTCTTGTTTTTTACTTTTTATTTATTTTTTCTATTTATTTTTATTCATTGGAGGCTAATTACTTTACAATATTGTAGTGGTTTTTGCCATACATTGACATGAATCAGCCATGGATTTACATGTGTTCCCCATCCCGATCCCCCCTCCCACCTCCCTCTCCATCCCATCCCTCTGGGTCTTCCCAGTGCACCAGCCCTGAGCACTCATCTCATGCATCCAACCTGGGCTGGTGATCTGAGCAAGATCGGTTTTACGGAGAGAAACTCAAGCCTCCAAGACCTTCAGTGATCTGCCTGAAGTCAGACAGATAAAGAGCAAAACTAGAACCCAAACTGGACATCAAGCTCAGATTCCTTTCACGGCTCCATAGCAGCCTATGTGTAATTCCCCCACAGCAGTCTCTCAGCTTCCAATTCTGCTTTCTTTACAACTTACTCATTCCCCAGGATGCCCTTCCCAGGCTGTTCCCCTCAGTTCTGCAATTACCTTGCATTTCCCTGACCTTCCTTCCATCTTAAAAGTTTTCTGCTCAGTCAGCTGAAGGAAGCCAGGAACCCAATCCCCTACACAAGTCTTCTGTGGCCATGCTGTCCAGTTCAAGCAGCTCTGCCTCTGACCGCCATAGTTGTGTTCTCTCAGGCACATCACTCTCCACCCTGGGTTTATTTTCATTCTTTACCAAATTATAGGCTTACTGAGAAGAGCAAGCATGCCTGATACACCTTTGTCCCACACACAGCTGAGTGCGCACCTTTATTGATAATATTTGGTTGGTTGGTGACTGCTGGTGCATAATAATGCAATATTTTCTGTAGTAAAATTCGTCAGACCTGTCCTAAATTCTCTCATACTTTAGACCTGCCTTTATGTCGTTTAGCCATCAAGATTAGTATCTATAATGGTACCTCAAGTGGGGAATACCCTTGCAATAAAAAAATATAAAAAAATTTTTAAATGTTTTCTTCAGGTCCTACCTCCATCTGAGATTGGCCTCTTCTTGGTGCTTCCGCGAACAGCCAGGGTTATCCCACCTCGACCTTCCTGTATCTGTTCTCTAGGAGCCCCTTCACTCCAGTGGCTTTGCTGAAAGTGACTAGAGGAGTATGATGGGGACAGAAGTAGTTCTGGTGACCTTGCCCAAGGATTTGGAAACATGGAATTCTTTAGGCCTGGAAGAGACATTAGTGAAAACCACTTACTAATGACAAGGATCTCGAAGTCCTGCGTGGTGACCTGAATTACAAAGGTCAGGGCCAGAACCCAGATTTGGTGCTCTGGCTCTGGTGTTCTTTTCCTTCACGAACCGGGCTCTGTGCTACTGACTGGTTTGTGTGTATACACACACATGTATCTGTCAAAGTGCTTCTGGAAACAGAATTTATTCAGTATCATCTAGGTCCATCTCAAGAGACTTGGTGTGATGAAGGAATGGAGGATGTCATGCTGTCAAAAGCAATCTAATGTTAATGTATGGGAAGTCTGTTTTAAGTACACCTAGAAGACAATGGAAATATTACTGGTATTTAGCCAGGATTTTATTCTCACTGTATTCTCCTTTTTGGCTTTCCCACTTCTCAACCAGGTTCAGGAGAAAGTAGATCCATCTAAAACTAATTTCCTCTGATATGTAGGATGAATGACTTATACAGTAAGTCCCCTACATATGAACCCCCAAGTTGTGAACTTTTAACTAAAAATAAATTTTAATTCCTTTAAAAGTCTTTGAAGTAACAAAACAGGTATTACGCCAATTTTTAATTCAAAAGTGAACTTATGAGCTGTTTCATTTGTAGTTACTTTCTAGAACAAGTTATTGGTTAGATCATAAATTTTAAATGGAAGGAAGTGTGTGTTTTGCACACTTGCACAACTTTCTCTAAACCTTTCCTTAGGGAAATTTGCATTTTTCTCCTTAACAGTTTATTGATAGCCTCAGTCTTAAACACAAAGATTGGCACCGTGTATTACATATATTGTTATGCCCTTGTTCTCTAGTACAATATTTACTTTGTATATAAAAGTAAATACTGTATTGTATATAAAAGCTTACCAACTTTTTCCCAAGCAATTATCAAAAAGCATTCATTTGGACTTTTCATAGTATTGATTTTTTAGTTGCTCCTATAAAAAAACAATTCAGCAAAATCTATTCTTGTTTGACCTATGACCTGGTAAATATGATTTACTTCAAAAAACAAAAAATAAAGTCATTCTGTTTGCACTTATTAACAAGTTGCAAACTTTCAAAATTGTGAACGTGCATTCACATGTCCAATCATGTAAGTCAGCTCATGTGTCTGGCGCACACTGTCACATGCATTCTCTATAAGTGATTGTGCTTTTGTGTACTTTACAGTACTATATAGAGTACAATAGTACAGCATCTTTATTTCAAGCCCAGGACGTCCAGAAGCAAGCATAAAAGCAGCAGTATACAGCCAATTGTGTTAGCTGGGTACCTAAGCTAACTTTGTTGGACTTACAAACACGCTCTCAGAATGGAATTCGTTCATATGTAGGGGACTTACTGTACACCCCAAAGCACTAGTAAGGTTGGAGAGTGATAATGTTTGGTTCACATTGGACTGATACTCTCCTTAAATGGCTTTATGCTAGTTTAATCTCATTTGTAAAATCTTTATGAGAAGGTTCTCATTTAAAATGAGATCATTTCATTGTGTATGTACTAAAGAGTAAGCTGTCTTTAGCATAAATTAATTGAAGTAATGAAAACAGCATTCCAAAGGGCTTCCTCAGATCCCTAAAGTGGCTTTTTCTCTGCAGTATTTCTGGATCCCCCTGACGTCAGGGAATTAAAAAGAAACGAGTGGCCAACTGCTGTTCTTACATGACTTAACTCAAGACTCCTCTTTCTCTGAAATTGCCTTCCATGCTCACTGGACCAGGAGTAGACCTGGTCAGTTAGACATTCTCATTTGAAAATCTGGAGTTGAACAGCAAGAGTTTGACCAAGTTTCTCAAATGTGGCAGGATTTAAAATGTTTCATTTCAGTAGCTATAAAGATCAGATTATTCTATACAGTCTGAGGAACAGGGGTACACTTTTAAATGGTTTCTTACAGAACAAAATTCAAAAGAAAATAGAGGTAGTAGACTTACAAGAATTTAAAGAAAGAAAAACAACAACAACAACAACAAAAAAAGCCCAGGAATTGCTTCATTAAGAGTCATAATCCTTGGATATGATTAAAAAAAAGTAATAACCAGTACAAACCTAAGAGACAGCTTATTTGTACTTTAAATAAATTATAGTAAATTATTGCTTATTACGTTTAATAAATGTGTTAAAGGAGTTATATTTTACTTTATTAATAAAATTATTTTAAAACCAACCATCTAATTTTATAATTTCCAGTTGAAAGATTTAATCTATACATCGGCATGAATAAAACAATAAACTGCCAATTTGTCAGCAATTTGTGAATGGGATGATTATGCTGGTGCAGAGGTTCTCATATCCTTTTAACTGCTAATATCTGTTGTTAGACAATGTCCTGTGTGCCACAGTATTGTGCTATGTCTTACACACATCATTTCATTTAGTATCTATTCTGAGATACATACTGTTTAACAGATGTGAAAACTTGAGACCTAAAGTAAAATGGCTTGGCTGTAAGTCACATGACCGCAAAGCCCCAGGGCTGAGATTCCAAGCCTGTGGTCTGCTTCCAGAGCCCACAGCTTTAGCCACTACTCTAGGCTGCTTCACAGACACTGCTCATGGGAACAACAGTATTGTCAGAGTAGGAACTAAGAGGTCTAACACCAAAACAGAGCACTAGCAGTTTTCTCCTTTCAGTACACTTGGTTCAGTCATTCTGCCCACTCATTTAATAAAAGTTATACTCTGCAGGGCAGCTTCCTTCTCAGGCAGCAAGCTCCTGGAGTAAAGAGACAGTGTATTCTGAGCAGCTCTTGTATACCACAGCAGACATACTTGTCAGCATTACTGAGTCAGCATTACTGAACAAGGTCGGGCTGTTTCTTTAATAATTCTCATCTATCTCCTTTTTGTTAAGTTTTATTTTATTGCAAATGGCATAGGAACCATCTCTGATTTGTATTAAAACAAAACCAAACGCAACTACACATTTAGGTTCTTACTGTTTCTAGGACCCAAGGGTTTCACAAATCATCTGCCTTACCTGTTTCTTTCTTCTTCTCCTAGTGATCACTACAGTACTCTTAAAAGGGCTACAAGAATAAATTTATAACCTGTAGAATTCAACTTTAATCTTTTGGGAACTCTTAATTTACTATTGTAAAATCCAGAGAAAGGAAATCTATATTGATCAATCAATGCAGATACAAGTATGTACTTATATCTAAGGAAGAGTAAAGTAAGAGTACAAGAGCCCAATTTTTGGTTAAAAAAAAGCAAGAGCAAGTCACTGTGCCACTACAGATGCCAGTGCTTACATGTGTCAGCAGCCCAAGCAACTGGCATGCTATAGACATGGTGACATAGCTCCCTTCAATTCTCCACTGAGTTTCAAGTCCAGAGCATGTTTAGTCTTTGTCTTATTTATCTGTTGATGAAGGGTTTCTAGGAAGATTTAGCAGTGCTTCAATTTTCTGAGCGTCATCCTTGGATCGATCTTTCTGTAAATTACTTTCAATTTCTTCAGGAAGGAGGTCAGTAAATTGTAGTCTGGCTTTCCTGTAATGAAAGTACAAGAAAGATATAGCAAGTACTGTTCTATTTTTTTGGCTTTTTGGCTTTTCTATTTTAGAGTTTTTCTTTCTTAAGAAAGATCGTATTTATCTTATTCTCTCCTACAACTTATGAGCAAATACTTCTCCTTGCACTTCAAGTACAAGACTTTCTTCTCTCTCATAACCTGTTTCACTTACAAGCCAAGTAGGAGTCTCACATTACCAAAATGGACATTTCCAGGGCAGTAGCTCTGATCCTTAAGCTATTCCAGAGTTCTCTCAGCAGTGACTTGCAGTTGCTAAAACACCTTGAGCTTGTATGTGAGCCTTGGAACCAGTCTGTGCTCTTGCCCTCAGGGCCTAGGGGGATGTGAAACCCCCTGCCACTCTGTTAAACTCTGTTGACAGATCTTGCAGGACACGCACAAAGGTTATAACATTGGTAATCTCGATACAGAGAAGTCAGGTAGGACACCACTACAGACGTATATTTATTAGGAGTTAAAATATCTAATTTTCAAATAAGAGGTCAGTTCTTTTTCTAAGTCAAGTATTAGTGTCTTCCTTCCTGTAAGTGATTATCAAGGTCACCCATGACTTTCATAAGAAGATTTGATCATTTCTTCTTCTATGTCTCTATGGAAAATGTAGCCAGTGTTCTAGATTTTCTGCTCAATAAGGCAATTTTTCAGATTCTCACTTTGTTGATTTCTCTATACTGTAGTTATTTTCAAGCAAAGAAGCAGACATTTAAAAAGTTCTTAACTATTTATTAACTGTCCTCAGAAATACCACATATATATTATATACATATAAATAACCTGAACACTTCTAACACTGACACAGTGACACTATTTCCTTCTGCCAAAATACTCTTTCATTTCTATAAATCCAGTTTTTTACCCATGCTTGAGGTTTTTCATCTCTAAATAACTGATCCACTTCTCTAGCTTCCTTTTCCTAACTGGAATACAATTCTTGTGCATATTTTTCCAGACGTTAATCCTTCTGTCACGTCCTCTGTCAAAAAATCATGCCCTTTCCTTGCTTTCCAACTCCTTTCTCAAAGATTCTTTTTTAAAAAAGAAGTCTCATGACACCTAGAGAACTAGAAATAAGCTAATGCTTCTATGCTTTTAACCCTCCATAATATCAAATTTTATGCTGGCAGTCAGAATTTTAAGTGCTTTATAATAGCTTCATATCTCACTCACCCTCTTACTATGAAGAAGAAGGAACACATGTATGTTGGACACTGTGGTATGACTCTGCCCTTACAATAGCTGAGAAAACTGATGGCTTCAAGTTAAGGAAAACATCTATGTTCATAGAATTAATAGTCTAGCTGGTATTTAAGATTTGTTTTCAAGGTTTCACTGGCTCCAAATCAATGCTTTTTCTCCTATAGTACGTAAGTCCTTGGACAACAGATTTATAGATATTAAGAATTTCCATGTTTGTCTATGTGAGTGTGTACGTGTGTGTGTGTGTGTGTGTGCATGTAGCACAAACGAAGTTTCAAATAAAACCAAGGGAAAAAGAAGACTTCTTATCTACCGAACTACCAAAGCAGCAGCAGCAGCAGATGTCATCTTAGTGGGCAGGAAGCAGAACCATGAGAATCATTTGTACCAAAGCGCTAGACGGCAGACTATTATGATGATCTTACAAAGAATTAGCAGGAAGTTGGCCATCACTGGAACCCAGGGAGTGACTATATGAACAAGAGACAGTCTGCATCCTTCTCAGTAGCATCTGGTCTATGAACAGCCAGTATACGTACCTAACATCCATTGCAGCCACAGCAAGAAGTATAATAATTAAATGTGGAGACCTAACATGCTATGTAATGTTCATACACGTATGTGTAAACAAGGATATCATCTTTTAAGTAAAGCCAAGTAAAGCCCACTCACTGCTATTCATTTCCTTCATGTAATTTCCAATGCAGTCACAAACAGAGGAAAAGAAAAAATATGCAACCAAATAAGATTTATAACATTTAATTTTAAAAAAAATGTATCTAAGGAAAGGTTCTCAATTAGTATATTTCATTTTTCCATTCTCCTTAATTAAAAATATTAAGACCAAGTAGGGTACCAGGTGAAAGACTCAGTAAAAAGCAAGTCTGACTTGAGCAGCAATTTAGAGTACCTGTTTCAGAAACCATCAGTCTGCAGATACAAAAGCCAAACAATCCAGTCTTAACACAACTCCTTACCGTTCTTCCAGTTTCAGCTCCTGGAATGCTTTTCGATCCTTCTGTTTTCTCTCCTGAACTGTCTCACCACAGTATATCTGAAGTGCCATCAATAGGCTTCCTATAGGAGTGCTGAGGAGGAGGCAGAAGGAACGTTTAGAAGAAAGAGCCATGAGACCATGCAGAATGAGAGGATCTCTGCTAAGGCACGAGTAACACTAACCAAACCACTGGCTCACTGACAGGTGCAGGGACATCTGACAGTTAAAAGCATCCTTGTCAAATAAAAAAATATTAAGATAATTTCCTTCCTGGTCTGAACAACAGGAAAAACAATCATTGCAACATCCTAAATTTAACTGGTATAAAAACAACAGGTCTATAAATTGGCTCTTTTTAAAAAAAAAAAATCATGAAAGATAAATAAACTAGTAAAAAATATATTTATAAGTTCTAGTTAGCAGCTTTATACTGAAGGTTTCTCAGAAAAGAAATTCATACCAGAAATGTGAAGGGCAAGAAATGTGAAGGGTACTTTCGGTTGGGAGAAGGATGCTACTGGCTTTGGGGGTTGGAGCTGCCAAAATATCCTAAAATTCAAGAGTCTGGCACAACTGTCTCACTCAGAATGCCAATAGTTAGTTATCCACTGAGAAAACGACTTAGATAAAAATTATCACAGTAATAACGAGGGTTTTGTTCATATTTCCAAAGAGAAGGAGTTTTTTAATCTGATACAACTTAAATTCCTTACTTAACATTGTAACCACATTTTAAAAATTATTTTTGCTAGGTGGAAATGTTTGTTGATGATGAATGGATAAACAAAATATGGAACTGTATATACAATGGAATATTACGCAGTCCCAAAAAGGAAGATCCTGTCACATGGATTAAACTCAAGGACATTATGCTTAGTGAAATATGCCAGTTACAAAAGGAAAAATATATGATTTCACTAATATGAATTACTCAGAGTAGCAAAAATCACAGAAACAGAAAGTAGAAAGGTGGTTGCCAAAGGCTGTGTGGGGATGGGGGAAGGGAGCATGGTGTTTAATGGGTACAGAGTTTCAGGTCTGCAAGATGAAAAAGTTCTAGAGACCTGTTGCACAACAATGTGAATATAGTTAACACTACTGAACTGTACACTTAAAAGTGGTTAAGATGGTAATTTTTATGTTATGTGTGTTTTTTAACCACAATAAAAAAATATTTTTGCAGCTAATTTCAACAATTTTCCCCTTCAAACCAAGTTGGTATATTAACAAGAAAACAAAAATGTCAACAGATCATCAAATGATGAATTTTAAAACAAATTTGGAAGGTGAGGGAGAACTCTTCTTTCTATTCAGGTGAATGCCAACTAATAAAGACAGAAATGACAAAACTAGCAAATCAACATTTTGTAACCAGTTTTATATTAAATAATAACGGATTACATTAGGGATCATCAATGGATCATTAAAACCATTAAAAAACAGCTAGAGAGTAGATAATTCACACTACTGTATCCCACAGATTACTTATTAAACACAATGGAAAAAGATAACTTTGCAGTGGAGAAATTTAGTAGATATCAAATGTGCTAAGCAGAATTCTAAAATGGTCCCCCAAAATTTCCTGCCCTAATTTCTCAAATATGAGTATATGATGAGAAATTATGCCCATGATTATGTTATGCAGCAAAGTGGATTTTGCAGATGTAACTAAGGTTACTGATCACTTGAATGAGTTAATCAAAAAGGAGATTATCTGTGTGAACCCTCTGAATACAGTTTTTTTCCCAGTTGGTGGCAGAATGGAAGTCAGAGAGATTCAAAGTATGAGAAGGATTCAACATGCTGGCGGCTGGTTTGAACATGGAGGGGGCATGGAGAAGGAATGTGGATGCCTCTAGGAACAAGATGGTGCCTGACAGCCACCCAGGAAACAGGGAATTCAGACCTACAGCCACAATGGTTCTGTCAACAACTTGAATTTTATGGAAACAAATTCTTCCCACAGAGCCTCCAGGTAAGAGCCTGCCTGACCAACACCTTGATTTTAGCCTCATGAAATACTAAGAAGAGAACCCATCTGAGCCCATCCAGACTTCTGACCTACAGGACAGTGATATAATAAACCGGTAGTGTTTGAAGCTTCTTAGTGTGTGGTTAATTTGTTACACAGCAACAGAAAACTAATATATCAAGTTATATCACTTACAAGGGGTGACATAATATGTCTCTTGACATACACTAAGAAGGATACAACTTTGCCTATGTTGTAATCTTGACGAAAACGGTAAACCCAAATCTAACCATGAGGGGATAATCAAAGAAAACTGAGAAATATTCCGGGGGGAAAATCAGGTGTGGGACTAGTCTAGCTTAAAGGAATCTAAAGAGACATGACAACAAAATACAATTTAATCCTGGATTCTACAAAATTATATATTATACACACACACACAGAGCATTACTGTAATAACAGGAATTCTGAATATGGACTTTATCTTAAATAGTATTGAATCAAAGGTAAATCATTTATTGTGATAATTGTACTGTGAAATCACTGGAGAATATTCTTTCTCCTGGGGAATACATGCTGATGTATTTAGGGCTCAAATACTTCAAATGGTTCAAACAAAAAGAAATATACACATGTCCCACACAAATACTGAGAGAGAGAAAACAAATATGGAAAAATGTGAACAAATGGTGAATCTAAGTGAAGATTATATGGGTGTTCAACATACTAATTACCTCAACTTTTCTACAGGTTTGAAATGTTTCAAAGTAAAAAGCTGGAGAAGAAAAGTCTTAAAATTTATTAAACTAAATAAACAAACCTAACCCCCATATTTTTTATGTGCTTGTTAGCTGTTTGTTATTCCTTTTTCCTACTCTTTATAAGTATCTGTGTTCAAACCTTAGTTTCAGGTGTTAATGATACTTAAACAGTTTTTACCCAGTGAAGACCAGAAGTAAAATCAACAACTGGGATACAATCAGAACTGGACAATCAAAGCTACTACCAATACAAGACTGTGCTGTGCTATGCTTAGTCGCTCAGTTGTGTCCAACTCTTTGTGATTCCAAGGTCTGCAGCCCACCAGGCTCCTCTGTCCATGGGGATTCTCCAGGCAAGAATACTGGAATGGGTTGCCACGCCCTCCTCCAAGGGATCTTTCCAACCCAGGGATTGAACCCAGGTCTCCTGCACGGCAGGCAGATTTTTTACTGACTGAGCCACCAGGGAAGCTCAATACAAGGCTAGAGACCTTTAATGGGATTAAATCCTCTAAGGATTAAATTTGTTCTTTAGAAATGATTCAGATTTTTAACAGGTAAGACATTAATGAATTAATTAATAAGCTAATTAATAAGATATTAATTTAGAATCAAAGTATGTTAACACTTACCCCAGCAAGGCTCCAATTATGCCACCAGCTACTAGGCCATGCAGGCCTAAGTTTATTCTAAAAAGACTTCCTGTGACAGCTATTTTAAAAGAAACAAAAAGCAGTATCAAATCATTTTTAAACACCAGAGTTCCATTTAAACATGTTCCTTCTATAAGGACATAAATCCCCAAGTAAGCTTTTTGAACCCAACATTAATCTATCACAACCTAGACTTGCCATATGGCCAGCTTCTCATCCACTCTGCAAGTTTAAAGGAAGAAACGTCCCTTTAACAGAACTGCTCAGTGGGTTCTATGGACCTAGCCTCTTCTCATTCTGCTTTTGTGCTAACCTCACCTTAAAAATCTGTTATTTCTTTACTTCTACCTCTTTTATTTCTTCCTGCTTTAAGGAAAGTTTTCTCCAAACAAACAATAAAAATCTTCACTAGCCACTTGCAGTTCATGTCTTTCCCCAGCTTCGCCCTTTTTTTTTTTCTTTATGGACGCGCTGCATGGCATGTGGGATCTTAGCTTCCCAACCAGGGACAGAACCTGTGCCTCCTACAGTAGAAGGGCCATACCACCAGGGACATCCCCAGCCTCACCAGCTCCGTACTGCTAAGCTTCACCTCTCCAGCAGGCCTGCAAGTGGGCAGTTGGCCTACATTGCCCCCTGGTGGCTGGAGCATAGGTCCCTTTTCCTTACCGCTAAGACTGTACACCCAAGATGTCCATTAATTTTCCTCTTTCACTATGCACAACACAACAAACGCCATTTCAGGTGGTAACATTTTTAAACATTAACATTTGAGGTTTATATTTCTTATTTAAGTATAATGTATTCATTTTTTAACTTTTCTATTTCATGATTTTTCTCTATCTTTCAACTGTAACTATTATGTGTCTAGGTGTGAATCTTTTCACATTTATTCTTCCTGGAGTTTGTTGAGATTCTTAGATGTATAGATATTTTTCATAAAATTTGGGAAGTCTGTGGCCATAATTTCTTAAAATTCTTTTTCTTCCCTTTTTTTCCTTTCCTCTCCATTATCCATATTCTTGATTGTATCCCAAAGATCTCTGAGGCTCTATTCATTTGTCTTCATTTTTAAAAATTCTGTCCTTCATAAAAGATAACCTATATCGATCTATCTTCAAGTTCATTGATTCTCCCATGCTCTCTCAAACTGGCTGTTGAGGGCCTTCTCTCCAGTGAATCTTTAATTTCCATTTATGTATTTATCAACTCCAGAATATTCATTTGACTCTTAAAAATAATTTCTATCTTTAGTGATATTTTCTGTTTGATAACCATCATCACATTTTAATTATTTTAAACACTTGAAGTCGGAATATCTTCCTACCTAGGGGCATGGATATAGTGATTTGCCTGGACCAATTCTGTGGAGTCTTAGTTTTCTTGTTTAGTAGAGTGCAGCCAGAGAGGTCTCTGTTCAGTTTTTACTTTTCTGTCTGGCTTCCTAGGAATCACACTAGCTTGGCAGACAGCCAGTGATTTGTCAGTGGCTGTGATTACACATTTTAAGCCAGTAAGGCTGTCACCTTTTGTCAATGGATCTGTCTGTGGCTTGAAGAACACAGTCAAGGTTTAGGCAGTTTATAAACCTTCTAGCTTTTACTTTTTGTGTTCATGAGGCCTCACAATTAAGCAGATAATCAGCTTGCTAGGGCCCTTACCAGTCTCTCCTAAGTGTGCTTACACAGACAGGTAATTTTCCGGAGTTCTGGGGATTAGTAGGTTCTTAATGAAGTCTCCGTTGGGTTTCTTGTTCTCTGGATATCTTTGGTAAAATTATACCTCATCCACTAATCGACTGCTTGCCCCAAACACCAAAACCTCCAGTTAGCTGTGTGATGTCGTTCTTTCCTAAGTGTTTGCTATTGTTTTCAGCAACACCCTGAAGCACAGAATTTTCTGTGCTCTGCTCCAAATCAAGTCAGTTATCTCCAACATTAGTATTGGTCTTCCCAGCCTGCCCTGCCCTTGTGGAACTTCTGTATCATGGAGCTCAGCATTAGGTGGCAGCAGCCTCAGGCTGAAACACTACAGACTCCCATTGTTCTTACCAAGATTTAGTAGAAATTCTTAAATAAATGCTTCTCAACTTGTTGTGTGCCCTTGCTCAGTTTCAGGATCTTTAAGGGGTTGTTTTTTATAACTTTGTCCAGTTTTATTATTACTTTTGGAGGAAAGGATTTGTCAAGCTCCCTGGATATTGAAAATACTTTTATAAGTGTTCAAACAATAGTGGTGAGAGAAGACCTCCTTATCTGATTCTGACTTCAGGATAAATTTTTTTTTAATTTTAGTGTTATTTATTTTAATGTTGGTTGCTGGTTTGAGATAAAAATATATTTTCTATCATATATATTTTTCTATTCTTATTTTAGTAATATTTACATTCAATCGAGAAACCTTTACTCTACCCTGCTATATGTCAAACAATTGTGACATAAAAAGCAAACACTTTCTCTGAATTTTAGTCAGTTGTCTAGTAGAGAAGCAAAACAAGGAAACTGCTACAACACAGTGTTATAAATGCTTTGATAAAACTGTTTATGGTGAATTATGAGAACACAGGGGAAAGGCACCCAAGAGAGGAAAATGGGAGCTAGGAGAACCCTCTGAGGAAGCTGAAGCAGACAGATGAACTCAACCTTGAAAGACAGGTGTTAAGTATGGAGCTGAATAAAATTAGTTATGGGAGTGGAAAGTTGGATTCAAGCAAGAATTCTTGTAAAGCAAGAATATGCTGGGTTTGAGAAATCAAAGTAGATTATAAGGCTCATTAAGAGTGGTACATGGAGGTCAGGTCAAGAATTGACCTTAAATAAAAAAAGAATTGACCTTAGTGTGATGAAGTCTGAGCAGAAAAGTGCTAAAATCATACTCATATTTCAAAAAAAAAAAATCAGATAACAGTAGATGTTTGAAGCAAACCAAGATGATAAACAGGGAAAACCTGCAGTAGCAGTGGGAAAAGAGGTGAGAGTCCAAATATTTAAGAAATAAGACTGACAGAACTAGAAGTTTGGAAAGGGGATATAAAGGGCAGAACCACATCATTAATTGATTTTCAGTTTTGGAATTTAACAGGGTAGATGACAAAAAACATATAGCAGGAGTAAATATGAGGAGCAAGTGAGGGCAGAAACACAAGTTTTCTTTGGATATAGGCACTATAGAATATCCATGTAAAATTTTTCACAAGTTAAAACAGGGCAAGTTCTAGCTGCTCCAATGCTATTAATACCGATCTCTCGTTTCATGTTTTTAAATGTTTTCATTAAAATGTTAAGCTCAAATTATGTATATGTGTGTTTGCCTGTGTATTCACAGAAAAAGAGAGAGTACACCTAAAACAAAGAGCATAAGTGATAAAGCAAATAGGCTAAAATGTTAGTAACTTGGAATTCCCTGGCGGCCCAGAGGTTAGGGCTCTGCACTTTCACTGCCAACAGCCTGGGTTCAACCTCTAGTCCGGTAACTAAGATTCCACATGCTTTGCAGCCAGAGGTGGGTGGTGGCTGTTGTTCCGTCGCTCGGTCATGTCCAACTCTTTGCAACTCCATGGACTGCAGCACACCATGTTCTTCACTATCTCCCGGAGTTTGCTCAAACTCATGTCCATTGAATTGTGATGCCATCCAATCATCTCATCCTGTTGTCCCCTTCTTCTGCCTTCAATCTTTCCCAGCATCAGGGTCTTTTCCAATGAGTTGGCTCTTCACATCAGGTGGCCAAAACACTGGAGCTTCAGCTTCAGCATCAGTCCTTCCAATGAATATTTAGGACTGATTAACTTTAGGATTAATTGGTTTGATCTCCCTGTGGTCCAAGAGACTCTGAAGAGTCCTCTCCAGCACCACAGTTCAAAAGCATCAATTCTTCAGCACTCAGCCTTCTTTATTGTCCAACTCTCACATCCATACTTGATTACTGCAAAAACCACAGTTTTGACTAGACAGACCTTTGCTGGCAAAGTGATGCCTCTGCTTTTCAATACACTGTCTAGGTTTGTCATAGCCTTTCTTTCAAGGAGCAAGCATCTTTAAATTTCATGGCTGCAGTCACCATCTGCAGTAATTTTGGAAGCCCGAGAAAATAAAGTCTGTCACTTCACCCTAATGGCAGAAAGTGAAGAGGAACTAAAGAGCCTTTTGATGAATGTGAAAGAGGAGAGTGAAAAAACTTGCTTAAAACTCAACATTCAAAAACTAAGATCATGGCATCTGGTTCCATCACTTCATGGCAAATAGATGGGGAAAAAAATAGAAACAGGATAGGTATGGGGTAGGGAGCTTAAAAAAGTTCTTAACAGTAACAGAATCTTTGTACTAAAGGATACTGTTCATGGTATTCCTTATATTACTTTTATTTTTGCAACTTTCTATAAGCTTGAAGCTATTTCAAAACAAAAAGTAAAAAACTGTTATGTGAAGCATATGTATTTTTTTTTAATGTGAGGGAATATACATGAATTAGTGAATGTTTGCATCTAAATGGCAGTTAACTTCATTTACATTTTGGGAAATGTACTGATTTGTACTAGAAATGTAATGAAAATGTTCAACACTTTTTAAAATGTTCATTTTAAAGAGGGCATGTCTACCAGAGGCAGAGTGCTTTAAAACAAAATCTAATTTCTTATCATGAAAAATCTGGCTCCTCTCTACTTCACCTCACAATTCTCTCAAGCCACTCTTCCCCTCATTCACTATGTTGCAGTCATATTATCCTACATCTGAGAAACCTTAGAGCCTTCACCCTTGATGTTACCCCTGCTTAAGCGACTCTTCTCTGCAAGGCTTGTTCCTTCCCATTCTTAAGCTATCAGCTTAAATGTCACTTCCTTAGAAATTGATCAGCCTGTCCACATTAGATCCTACCTCCTCACCTATTTATTACTTTTTATCATAGCAACCTATTTTATCCCATAGACATTAGATGATAAAACTCAATGAAGGAAAAGACTTTTTTATGTTTTGTTCACTAAGTATACCAAAGACCAAGCACATTTTCCATATATCTTGCATGAATGTTAAATGAGATGTGATGAGAAGCCAACCTAAGAATTCAGTAGCCATGACTTATAAGTCCTTACATGTTTTCCTAAACCATATGTGAGCTTGAAATATGAAATATGAACAAAAATGTCTTACCTCCTGCAATGACAAAATGACTTAAGGCATTTTTATTTCGGTAAACATTTAGACCAGTGTTAACTGTACTAGGAAGGAAGAAGAAAACAAAATTTAAAGCATATCTCAATTACCTTCTTGACTTTAACTTTCACTAAAGTGATACATGTTAGTTTAGAAGAGCCTACTATGTCAATCCCTGGTCCCAGTAGGCTCCTTCAGTGAGTGTGTTTCAGACTGCTATAAAAAATATGCCATTTAAGCAACAGAAAAGTAAAGAAAAGTTCTGCAGAATTCCTCTGATTTAGCAACCCTGTATCTATTTTGATATTAGTTGGCAGGCCTTCATGTACATGCGTGCTCAGTTGTGCAAGGTGCTCAGTCATGTCTAACACTTTGCGATGACCCCACAGACTATAGCTCTCCAGGCTCCTTCTGTCCATGGAATTTTCCAAGCAAGAATACTGGAATGGGTTGCCTCCTCCTCCTCCAGGGGAATTTTCCCAACCCAAGGATCTAACCCACATCTCTGGCAACAGCAGGAGGAATCTTTACCACTGTGCCACCAGAGAAGCCTGGCAGACCATCATCCATGGATACAAAACTACCGCTGGACCAATCTTTTGTATAAATAGATAACAGTTCTTGAGAAAAAGGTATCATAGATCACTTTTATATGGGTGTTCAGATTCTATAATTTCATTTGTTAAAACAATGTGCTCCTAAAAGAATATCTAAAATCCTTCATGACGATTCAGAGAACTTACTTGAATATAGTCACAAACATGGCTGTTCTCCAACTCCAGCGCCAGCCATACCGGATGAAGCCTCGTGTAGCAGCACGATGGGCAGATTGCTGAAGTTAATAAAAAAGGCTGTTGAGGTTCCGAGACACCTTGATACTTTCCCTATTCTAAAACTGTGGTGGAGGAATGTCAGCTAGGAAATAGGTAGGATAGGTAGGGACACCTAAATAGGTAGAAACAATAGAAAATCTCTAGAAATATCATTCTTCAATCACTGAAACTTAAGCAAATGTACCATGCGCACTCTATTCTATCACAGGGTATAAAAGGAACTAAGAAATGCAGTGTGAACCAAGTAATTCATCAATTAAATAGCAACTAAGACTCTATATGACAAATACTATGACAAACATAAAAGCAGTATTAGACATGCTTTTTTTTCAAGAAATTGTGGGGAAAAGAAAAAACAGAAAATAAAAAGGAACACTGAGTAAACCATAAACGGTAAGGATTAAAGTAATACAGATGTGCACGAGAGGAAGAAAGGAAGAAAAAACCCTAACCTTTACTGACCACCTTCTATGTAAAAGTTGCTAACATATTACCTCATTTAATCTTTACAACATTTTCTTCAAGCAGGTGTTAAAAGGCATTAAGAGGACACTTCTAACCAAGATCACTCAGCCAACAAAGAATAAAGTCAGAATTGGAAGTTAGGTTGTCTGTTTCCACTGCTCATTTTCATTAACCACCATGAAGCGAGTCTGGCATAATATTGTGAGGGTAAAGCCTAGATTTTTAAAGAATCTGACAGAATCCCTAGGTGTAGTCTTATCTACTATATGATACTGCGCAAGTCAAAACCTCTCTGAAAGGTATCAGTGCAAACTCATGGCTTTTAGCAAATAGGGAGACAAATACAGAAACAGAGATATATATGTATGAAAGTGTATATAAATCACACACATACATACACATTTCCTAGCTCTATCTGCCTAGACACCATCATACCTCAGTAGCAATGAGCATGCCTAACTCCAGATCTTGTTTTTTAAATACCATTTTCTTTTTGCCACTTTATTTTTTTTTTAATTGAAGGATAATTGCTTTACAGAATTTTGTGGTTTTCCGTCATACATCAACAAGAATCAGCCATAGTTACACCCATGTCCCCTCCCTCCCAAACCTTCTTCCCCATCCCACTCCCCTAGATTGTCACAGAACCCCTGTTTGAGTTCCCTGAGTCATTTAAATGCCATTTTAAAAGAAACAAAGCTGTTGTTGAAAAGATGAACCAGAAACACCATGCTGTGCCCCAAAGTAAAGATGCGCTCAAAGACTACTGGAGACATCATTAAAAGGACACAGGAGCTAGCCTGAAGGGGTTCCAACAGTCTAAATCCAAGCCAGGTATCAAAATAAAGATGATAATAATGGATTAGAAAACCATAGAATAACACGAGTCAACAGTCCACACTGAATAAATTATAAATGGATAAATGGACAAATAGAGGAAAAGTGAAAGCTCTTCCTTATAGCACAATACTAACCAATAAATATACATGGACGATGGAATTAGAAAATGGACATTTGGTTACCACCACAGTAATAACTATTTTAGGAAAGAATCAGCATTGACTACTGAAACCAGAGGGTGAAAAATTGATGAAAAATAGGATATTTGCATAGTCTCAAAGTATCTAATAAGTATTCCTAAGATACTTATTAAACACAAAGGGAAAAACTCAATAATTTTATAGTGGATAAAACATGGCAAGGACCATCTGAGTTAAGTGATTAAAGTTAAGTATCCCCAGTAGAGGGACAAATAGGTATCTCATGCTCCTTATCATTACTTACTGGGAAGGATACAGTATCAATTGTAGGATATTCCTGTGAAAACACTTAAGTGAAATTTAATCACAAGAAAACATCAAATGTCCAAATCGTGGGACATTCTACAATACAAAATAAAAGGCCCAAGTCTTAAAAAATATTGAGGTCATGAAAGTCAAAGAACAATAGAAAAACTGCTCCAAATTAAAGGAGAATGACTAGAGAGGCACAACAGGCAAATTCAACATCTGATCCAGTACTAGATCCTGGACCAGAAAAAAAAAATTTTAATAACTTGTTTACTTTAAAAATAATGTTAGTGGGACAATAAGCAAAATTTACATAAAGTCCATTGATAAGATAATAGTACTCTATCAGTATTAAAGTCCTGAATTGCATAATAATATTGTGGTTATGTAAGAAAATGTCTTTGTTTTTTAGGAAATGTATGCTGAAGCATTCACCATGTCTAAAACATACTCCCAAGCAGTTCACAAAAAAATAACAGCATGCCTTATACAGAGAGAATAAGAAAGCAAATGTGGTAAAATGTTAACATTTGGAGAATCTGACTGAAAGGTGTACAGGAATTCTTTGTACAGTCAGCCTTCTGTATCCCCAGATTTGGAACCTGAGGAAGTGGAACCACGAATATGGGGGACGTATGGTACTATGGTTTTTTTAAAAATAAAAGACTCAAGCATTTGTGGATTTTGGTATCCACAGGAGTCCTGGAATCAATCCCTCTTGGACATTACAGGACACTGGCACTACTTTTGCAACTTTTAAAACTTGACACAATTAAAAAAAACACCACAAATTTTAAAAAACAAAAAATTCTGAGCCATAACTTCCTCACTAGGACAATAGAACTGACATACAGATTTAAGATAGAACAAATGAGTCAGCACTCAACAAACTGTAAAGCTCTAAATGTTACTGATTATTTTAGTGTGAGCTAGTGGACTGCCTACAGGCTTTCTGAATAGGATAAATACACTACAGCTGAGCCTTGATGATTTAGCAGGAGATTAGAAATATACTTCAGAAAGTAAAGCCATGGTCGTGATCAATTCTAGTAAGAAAAGTGGTCTGACAAAGTTTGAGTATGCGCTATAGCATTAGCACTTCCATTGTTGCTGAGTACAGACTTTGTTTCCTAAATCTTCTCAACCCTACTATCTAACTAGATGATTAAGTATAAAGTGAACAGCTAAAACTGGCATGCCCCCAAATACTATTAGAACACCAGTACATACCACAGCATCAAGCTGGTTGCGGTAAACTTCTGCTTGGCTCTGCTCAATGTAGCGCTGTTTAGCATGAATAAATGCTGGTATTCCCCCATATGCCCAGCCGATGATGCCTGCTGAAATTGCTGCCTTGTAAATATCCTGAAGTTCTTTTGAAGTTCTCTGCTGTTCACTAAAACATCAAAAAGACAATGTTGTTTGGGATTAGTTTATGGATACTGCTCTCCAAAAGACAGTATGATCAGAATTATCCCAAATGCTAAACAGGACTTAAATTTTTCATGATGGGCAGAATCAATTAAACCTTCTGATGAATTAAATAATTATATTACAAGTAGCTCAAATCTCAGTCAAAACTAATCTATGCTTTCAGAAGTTAGGTTAGTAGCTATTCTTGGGAAGGCAGTGACAGAGAAGGGGCACAAGGGGGAGCTTCTGGGACACTAACAGTCTCAGGGCTGGATACAGAGTTAGGTTTAGTGAAAAGTCACAGACAGGTATACTTATGTACATTTTTCTAGGCGCATATTTTATTTATACTGCAATAAAAAGGTTTTTTAAAGGGTTATTTTATTTGATGACTATTACAGCTCTACTATATCCCTGGAAACAGAAAGAATTTATAAACTGGAAGCAGAAATTAACAATTCCCTTTTTGAATTTTTAGATAACTTTTGGAAATTATAAAAACTTATGGGATCTTAGGACAATGTATGCAAGAATGAATACCTATATGTAAAAAAAACCCCAAAATTTTATCTTTCTGAATATTTAATTTTTATGTCATGCTCAGATGGGCCTGTACTATTAAAGACCACTAAATGAGAAAGCTCATGATGCAGTGGGCAGCACAGACCAACCTAAAATAAATGGGAAAAGCTACCATCTCATTCAATCTATTACTCTCAAAAGCATTAGAAACTAGAAGCTATATTGCAGCTTCCAAGATGTCCTCTGAAAATTGCTCTAACAAACAGCTAAGTTTGTAAGCGTTTAGTTATTAGAAGTAATGGCCCTCCTACATAAGTAAACTACTGAATATTAATTTTTTACAAACTACTAACTTGCTTTCTTCTGAGACTGTACAAGTGTGTATCTAATTCTAATTCTATCTAATTTATCTAATTCTAACAACCACATTTCTGAAATCAGAATCAGTGAGTTCCTATAGTGCCCGCATATACAAGAGAGAAACCTAAATAAAATTTCTTGACAAATGAATTCTTATATCAATAGGAAAAACTGCTATAATCTGAACTTTATATTTTATCCTGTATAATGAATAAAACCAAAAACATTTACATAAAAAGTGGGAGAACTCGGAAAAAAGAAAATGAAAGAAGAGCTGAAGATTTAACAAGCCAGGAAATGCATACGATATCCTCTTTTTCGTCCTCTGAAAAATTCCATGACATAGCGATATTTTTTCTCCATATTATCAGCAGACACTCTAAAAGTTACATGATTGGGCCTAAGAACTAAGGAATGGTAAACAAACAGGGAAAAGTGGTGGAAAAGACCTAGACTATAAGTAGCAACAATGGAGTTGCAGTTCTGGTTCTGTCATCCACTGCTAAGTGACCTACAGGTAGACACAATCATTCTGAACCTTGGTTTCCTCACCCATGACATGGAGGGGACAATGAAAGTTATATTAAATTATCTTTCAAATTTCCTTCAGCTCCAACATTCTGTGGCTTATAAAGCTGATCAAAATAACCTTTTTCAAGTGAATTTGAGTCAGTTCCAGTGAGTTGGATGAACTTAGAGCCTGTTATACAGAGTGAAGTCAGAAAAATGAATATCATATATTAATGCATATACATGGAATCTAGAAAAATGGTACTGATGAACCTATTTGTAGGGCAGGAATAGAGATTCAGACATAGAGAACAGACTTATAGACACAGCAGGGGCAGGCAAGGGTGGGAAGAATTGAGACAGTACCATTGAAATTTACACATTACCATATGTAAAGTGAACAGACAGCTCATGGGAAGCTGCGGTGTAACACAGGGAGCCCAACCTGGTGCTCTGTGACAACTTACTTGTGTGGGATGGGGTGGGAGGTTGGGAGGGGGAGGTTCAAGAGGAAGGGAACCTATCGCTGTTTCATGTTGCTGTGTGGTAGAAACTAACACAACATTGTAAAGCAACCATCTCCAATTAAAAATAAATCAACAAAAATAAACCTTTTCTGTTGTGTACTACATAGGATCGTTCACAAATATCTCAAATAAATCTGGAATGACCAATGGAAAGGCGGCCTCATTATCTTTAAAATAAGATGATGAAATCTAAAGAACAATTAAATTCCACTGGCTCCCCTGCTCTATTTCAGCAAGATAATAAAGCTTCAATGTTAATTTAACCAGTTGATATTACAGTGTAGTATATGGTAAATTACTTCATAAAAAGGGAAAACTTTTCACCGGTGAGGAATAAAAATGATGAAATTAATTATCCTGAGTTTTCCATTAAAGTTAATTCAATTTAAAGGGTTATGTATCATTTATTCTGACACCACTTTACTTGTGAATCCAGCTAATATCTTTGCAACAACAGTTGCTACTGTTTTTTTATACCTTCCTTATTTGGCAGAATAAAAATTTTAACAACTGTGCTTTCTCTCCAACCTCCATTTTTGTGGCGGGGAGGAGGGCTACTGTTCAAGAAGCATCAGAATGTGGCATCAAGTGATACACGAGAAAGAATACTGGAGTCCTCCAAATGTTGGTTCTAGGGTCACTAAATAGCTTGCTCTAATTCTTCTAATTTGTAAAGTCAGGGGATTATATTAAACACTAAGTTTAGACTCCCTAAACATTCCTAAAAGTTCTTACTTTCAGTTAGTCTCACCCTCTCCATCTGAAAACCGGCCTGTCAATTAATAGAACTACCAAATAGCAATGTTAGGATAAAAGCTTGGAGTACATTACATTAAACTCCAAATCCCACAGAAATAAATCACACCACCCTGGGGTCCTTCGCCCCAGATGACCCAGGGTGCAGGTCACCTGCTTCGTAGCCCCTCCCCACAGACCGTAAGCACTTTTACTCTTTGACAAACAGCTCCCGGAGGCGGTCCCATCCGGATTCCGGGTATTGGGGTTCTGAGACGAAGGAAGACAGTTCCTGGTCCTCTACAAGAGCCTTGGGATCGGCGGGCACAGCTTCGGCAGCAAAGACCCGAGGAAAAGGACTCAGCGTCCTGCAGAGGAAGCTCCGTGGGGCCAGCGGCCGCGCCTCCATGATCCTCTCCGAACCTGTCGACAGACACTCGCTTGGGCGCTTAGGAGGCCAAGGCCTCACGGAGGTGTGGTGGGGGTAACTGCAAGAGGAATGGGCAAGTATCTTTACACTAGCCCCGAGTTAATTTGCGGCCATATCCGCCGACACACCACTTGACACACAGGCCCTCCGTGCCAAGCCTAACTTTGGAGGAACTTGGACACACGAGACAGGAAGTCCCTCCTCAACGAGGGCAAAGGCTGCGGGACGGCGCAAAAGCGGAACTGAAGCCGACACACTTCCGGCTAGGGTCGGGACGGTGCCAGGCCAGCCCGCCGGAAATGAGGTAGTGTCAAGGAGCCACGCTCAGTGCAGTGTGACTTCCGGTGTCATCCTCCTCACATTTCTGCAACAGGAAAGCAGGGTAGTAAGTAAATTGCAGGCGGAAAGATGCGGTCTTACGCTGATGTGAAAGTGGCTCAGTCATATCCGACTCTTTGCGATCCTATCGACTATAGAGTTCATGGAATTTTCCAGGCCAGAATACTGGAGTGGGTAACCTTTCTCGTTCCCAGCGGATCTTCCCAACCCAGGGATTGAACCCACGTCTCCCGCTTTGCGGGCGGATTCTTTACCAGTAAGGCCACAAGGGAAGCCCAAGAGTACTGGAGTGGATAGCCTATCCCTTCTCCATGGATCTTCCCGACCCAGGACTCGAACCAGGGTCTCCTGCATTGCAGGCGGATTCTTAACCAACTGAGCTATCAGGGAAGCCATTTAAAACAGCAGAAATGCCGTGAAGAAGAAAAAGTGCGGTGTTCATTACAAGTGGAGTACGGAAAGGGGAAGGCAATTTGGGCAAATGCATCCTAACCTACTCTGTCACAGACTTCCGGGCTGGACGGGGTTCATTCTGGTTTTCAGAAAAGACCGAGGCATTGAAGAGGAGTACTGGTGCCGGGTGCCCCGAGATTTCCAGAACAGTTTTTAAAGAAATCCGCTCTGGTGCTCGCTTCGGCAGCACATATACTAAAAAAGAAATCCGCTCTGGGCTCCACAAGATAGGTTTTACTCCCCTTAGTTTATATGCCTACTGTTTCTCAAAAGGCAGGACACTTTCTGGAATTTCTACCAGGTGTTGACTTAATAGTTATAATAGCAATAATATCCCGCCACTACAGCTTTCATTAACATATACTTCAAAGTATAGTTTTTATTAAAATGTACGCATTTAAAATATTCTCAAACTGGTTTGTGTTATTTCATTTAAGCTCTGCCAGCAACCAATCCTTACTCATCCTTATTGCTTTCTAGGTTTAAGTCTAAACCGTTACACTCTTGAGTGAGATAAGGTAAATAGATTTCTGGAATTTGACAGCTGGAATTCTATAGATAGGGCGCTGGGAACTGACTGATAACAGTGACTAGCTGAGTTAGTCGCGGCGCCAGGAAGATCTCTGATGTCTGGGAGAGGGGATTAGATTCAATTCCCATCATAGCATTTACTACATCGCATCATTATTTCCTATTTACTGTGTGTCTCAGTAGACTAACTTTGAGGTCAGGGATCATGTATGTGCATTTCTGTATCTCCAGTACCTACATTCACATAAGTCTTTGAATCAAGCCTTCAGATCCTTGACTCCTGGCTCTGGCTGCGGATTGCTGCCTAACCCATACAGGCAGAGGTGGGCACCATATAAAGTACCAAGGTGTGAAAGCTCAAGGAAATGGCTATGCAATCTGTCTAGTCTACATGTGGAAAATCTAAATGCTTAAGATGACTCCACAATCATTCTGGGATGAGGAGGACTTTAAATTGGAGGGTGGGAGTGTGGGCAGGTATTACTGAAATAATTGATATACAACTTAAATGCTCCCTCAGTACCTTATAGGTAACAAATGAGATTAACAGGCAAATTTTGCTAACGCCATAGCTGCCTTCTCATTTGGGTAACTAAGCCTCTTTCTTAAGGTTCCCTTTGTCATCTGATCACTCAAGAAGTCTCCAGATCCTAGGCCTGCTCACACTGTTGCTGCTATTCCACCTCAGCTCCTGAGACTACTTGTCACTCTCCTACTCTCCTGCTGCTCCAAGCCCTTGGGGTTTACCTTCCTTTCCTGTTGTTCAGTTGCTAAGTTGTGTCTGACTCTAACCCCACGGACTGTAGCATGCCAGGCTTCCAAGTCCTTCATTATTTCCCTGAGTTTGCTCAAACTCATGTCCATTGATTCGGTAATGCCATCCAACCATCTCATCCTCTTTTGCCCCCTTCTCTTTACCTTCCTTTACCACTATGGAAATATTCTCCCTTTTCTGTGGTCTGTTTTTTTGAAGGTTCTCAGAGCAACATTAAACCAAAACGTGTTATTCGGTTCACTTGGATCACTCTGTTTCACATTTAGCTTGCTCCTTTCCAGGATATACCTTTGCCACCAGAGTAAAGGCATCAGAAAAATTTCAGTGCAGTCACCACACTGTCTGGAACCACTATTCTACCCTCGGACTTCTTGCTGATTTCTGCTTACAGAACTCAGCCTCTTGCCCCATCATGAATTTTCCCCCAGGTGTCAGGTTCCCTTTCCCTCCTAGGTTCTCTGGGTACTGCCCTTGCTACATAAATTATATTATGTATGATATAAACTGTTACCACAAAGAAAGAGAATAAACCTTCAGAACTCCAGGGACCATTTAACCTTCAAAGTGTAACTCAATTTTTACTTCCATTAAGTTTCCAATCTGCATCAGACAGAAATGTCTTCTACCTTTAAACTTCAAATCCACATTGTCTTTATGAATAATTGGCCTTATGATTAAGGCCTCGTGTCCCCTTAACCACCTTCTGCCTATGCAGCCTCTCATACTTTGTTTCTACTTTGCCATCTCAACTAGAGAGCTGCTTCATGCTAGGGAGCCTGGTGTAAACATTTTCTTACCTCCCACTGTTTGTATACAGTAAATGCTCAAGTATTTAATAAATTATTAAATAAGTGATTTGTAATTGTACCCTTCTGTCTAACACACACCCTCCCTTGGGATGCAGTGGGATTATATTAAGTGAAGGCATCTTTGGTGGCACAAGAAGATGTGTTTTTACATATCCATGTGTGCTCTTCTTCACAGTCAGAGCAGGTGCAGAGTAGGAAGCTATCCTCTTCAGAACTGACCCAGAAAAGCCTACTGACATTTTTTTTAGGAATTCTGGACTGAGAGACAGAGCATGTAGTCTCCGGATCTGCACATGGCAGCACTCTAGGGACTATGCAAATTCTTGCTGAGATTCCTAGAGCTGCTCCACTTTCTACCTTTCCAAGTACTCCAAGATGCCCTCATATCCGTCTAAAAAGTTCTTTTGCTTAAACCAGCTACATGCTAGGGAGCCTGTTGTAAACATTTTCTTATCTCCCACTGTTTGTATACAGTAAATGCTCAAGTATTTGATAAATTATTAAATAAGTGATCTGTAATTGTACTCTTCTGTTTAATGCACACCCTTCCTTGGGATGCAGTGGGATTATGTTAAGTGAAGGCATCTTTGTTTCTATTTTCTTCTACTAGGAAAACCTGATGTAACAGCAGAATAAGGTGGAACACTGACATCACACAGATGATACTCCCCAAATAAAGAAAAATCATTCCTTGTGTTATCCAAGTATCTCACTTTACTCAAATAAACTCAGTTATTCTCTTTTCTTGAAGAAAAGTGTGGCTTTTATCTCTGAGAAGGAAAGGGTAAGTTTGGAATTCAGCTAGTATTAACAAAAAACAACTTTCAAAAGTTATGGAGATAAAAAATTACTTTCAAAACCATACATTTTATATGTCATTACACCCATCTTCATTATCATCTACACTGAGGTAAACAAATACATGTAAAATCTGGATAACATCTGCTGTACTTAAATACAAATGGTCTTATTAACTCTTCAAAGGACAGATGAGAAGTTGCATTGATCCAATTCTTACAGTCTTGTCCAATCCCTCTTGAAGCCAATGGCTGGGCAGTCTGTAAACAGGATTTAGTTAAGCGTACTGTCCCCATCCATCCATCCATCCTTCCAACACTGTTCTGTGCATTCTTCTGTGTGAGGCACTGTGCTGGATAATGGAGAAACTGGGGTAAGTAAAACATGATTCCTACCCATCAAGAAGCTCATAGGGGAAAAAAAAAAAGCTCGCAGGAGAAACAGTCAAATAACTACAGTACAGTGTAATGTCATATAATACAGGCTCGAGAAAAATATTATGATAGCCTCTAACTGCCTAGAGTAATGAAAATAAGGAGTCTGAGAGATAATGCTTGAGTTGGAAAGACTTCATGGGAAATGCACCTTCAGCTGCTAATCCAAAGGACAGAAAATTTTGCTCTTAGTTTTGTTGTTCAGTCACTAAGTTGTGTCTGACTCTTTGTGACCCCACAGACTACAGCAGGCCAGGCTTCCCTGTCCTTCACCACTTCCTGGAGTTTGCTCAAACTAATGTCCATTGAGTTGGTGATGCCATCCAACCATCTCATCCTCTGTTGCCCCCTTCTCCTCCTGCCCACAATCTTCCCCAGCATCAGGGTCTTTTCCAATGAGCTGGCTCTTCGCATCAGGTGGCCAAAGTATCGGAGCTTCAGCATTAAGTCCTTCCAATGAATATTCAGAGTTGATTTCCTTTAGGATTGATTTGTGTGATCTCCATGCTGTCCAAAAGACTCTCAAAGAGTCTTCTCCAGCAACACAATTCAAAAGCATCAATTCTTCGGCGATCAGCCTTTTTTATGTTCCAACTCTCACATCTATACATGATTACTGGAAAAACCATAGCTTTGACTATATGAACTTTTGTTGGCAAAGTGCTGTCTCTGCTTTTTAAAACACTGTCTAGGTTTGTCATAGCTTTTCTTCCAAGAAGTAAGTGTCTTTTAATTTCATGGTTGCAGTCAATATCTGCAATGATTTTGGAGCCCAAATTTTAATATGCTGTCTAGGTTGGTCATAACTTTCCTTCCAATTACATGGCTGCAGTCACCATCTGCAGTGATTTTGGAGCCCAGAAAAATAAAATCAGCCACTGTTTCCACTGTCTCCCCATCTTTTTGTCATGAAGTGATGGGGCCAGATGCCATCTTAGTTTTCTGAATGTTGAGTTTTAAGTCAACTTTTTCACTGTCCTCTTTTACCCTTGTGGCTCAGCTGTTAAAGAATTCGCCTGCAATGCGGGAGAACCAGGTTCAGTCCCTGGGTTGGGAAGATCCCCTGGAGAAGGGAAAGACTACCCACTCCAGTATTCCAGCCTAGAGACTGTATAGTCTATGGCGTCGCAAAGAGTTGGATACGAATGAGCAACTTCCACTCCACTTTCACCCTTGTCAAGAGGCTCTTTAGTTCCTCTTCATTTTCTGCCATGGTATCATCTGCATATCTGAGGTTGCTGATATTTCTCCTGGCAACCTTGATTCCAACTTGGAACTCATACAGCCTGGCATTTCGCATGATGTACTCTGCATAGAAGTTGTTAATAATAAGCAGGTTGACA